TATTTGTGTATCACCTATAAATGTAGTTTTACTACAGCAGAATTTAAATTGATATAGATAGGGAAGAGGAATGGGCCTTAAACATATTTGGTACACTACTTACATTCACCCAATTAAAATGACGTTAGCTCAAGTTCAAGTTCAAGTTTATTGTCATTATACTCATATACAGGTACATGGTATGACGAAATGCTATTTAGTTAGCTCTCTGACATAAGTAGTACAAAGAAAGAAAAACAACAACAACAACAACAATACAATTGTATAACAAAAGAAAGACAGAGACAGCAGGCGATGTGCAAAAACAACAACAGGCAATGTGCAAAAAAACAACAACAGTCAATGTGCAAAACAGCAAAAAGGTAACAGGTTATGTGCAAAAACATGCATCAACAGAATGAAATAAAGGGATAGAAATGATGGGGAGTGAGCTTTTGACATGTATGGTAGAGGTAGATTTTCAATGTGTGTTTGGGTCTTTGGTAAGAAAGAAAGAGTGCTTGCTTGTTGATTTGAATTTCAGTATTAACCTTTTGTGAGAGATGTTATCAAAAACTTACCTTTGTAAATATACTATACTATATTAAGCCATATGCCTTATAAATATGAACATTTACAAAGCCATTCATCCCTTCTAGTGTGTTTGGATTTTAAAAACTAATTGATCCAAGGTTCTTATCCAACCACTTCTTGAATGTAGTCAGGTATCAGCTTCAACAGCATGAGGGGGTTGCTTGTTCCTGACTCTCACAAACGTTTGTGTGAAAAAGTTTTCAATTCACTTTCCAGTAGTTTCTACTTGTGTGCTCTCTTTTGTGTTTCATTTTTTATTCTAAAGAAGACAGTTGGGTTGAGGGTGGAGGATCTCAAATATTTGAATATCTGGTCCTCCCATAATGTTCTCTCAGATTTCAAAAGATTAATTTATTTTAGCCTCTAGTCAGTTTTAGACATTCCTTTGAGCCCCCAAACAGGCTCTTCATTGCTCTGATTCCGGGGTAGTAATATGGTAACAAAACCTATTGAACACAATATTTTAAACATGCATTGCATAATGGACTTAGATTTGATGCATTTTTTAACTTTATACCATTAAAACCATTGTCTTTGTAAACATGTTTCTAATTTTGTTCTCACTCTCATTTCCATAATGTTACTAGTAACAACAATATGACTGGTTGGTCTACACTTTTCTGGTTCAACTACAGTTTATTAATTTTAGTAAAGTTGTTACACATTCTGTGGGTACAACTCCCATCCTCAGTGGCTGTACTTCTATCCTAAAAACTTATATCATAAAAACGATTTAATTGTGAAACTCTTTAGATGGACAACCATGTGCTAGAAAACTAAATATTGAAATATTGATTCCTGAATCTTAAAAATACAGAAAAGAGAGTATTATAGCACCCTTATTAGGATGTCCTTCTTCATCCTACAAAACTCCATGATCCTTGTGCCCTCCATCCTTACAGTATAGTACAGTACATAGAGGTATACAGTACTGTATGAATATTTCATCTTGATACACAGATGTATCTTGATTGTATTTGTGCATAGCAAAAGCTCTAAATTCCTTATTTCTTTTCTTCTGTTTGCCCTAGTCTTTACAATCATACACCTGTATCTCACAACAAGAAACACAACATTAATGCAGTTCCTCAATTATGAAATCACACAGCTCTGAAATATTAATTTAATAGGACTTATTTTATTATTGTTCGTGCATTCCTTAATGTATTAGGTTTTCTTTTCTGTGATAACTGTGTGCTAGAATTACCTCATCAAATGAAACTTTAAGTACACTCTAAAGGAGCATTTAGCTTCTACATTTGTTTATAATTTACAAATTTCTAATTTTAAAAAAAAATCTTGAAGTCAGCATTTCACATAGACTGATGGGCATTTGGTTTTCCTTAACAGTTGATCACAGAACAGGGGAAACGTAAGGGTTTTCCTGTTGGATTAAAGGTCAAGAGCTGTTTTGGCAGGGAAAAGGAAATGCTGACACTTTTCCTAGGATATGGATGAGATAAGAAAAAATAATATAAGTGTAGAAAAAGTTGACCTAGGAGCTGTTGCTTACAAAAAAACTAGTAAAAATCAACAAATACAATTGAGAATCATAAAAGAAAATATTCAAACATTTTTAAAAACTTCATGATAATTGTACCATACAGAATTTGATTTTATGTATCTCAATTTTTATGACAATTGTTAAGTTGTAAGGCCATAGGTAAACAAAGAAGCAATATAGCAAAGCTAAAGACACTGAGTTTTGCCTTTTAAACCAAAATGTGTATTGGAACATTTCTTTAATGTTTTTTTGGGGCAATTAATACTGATGAGATAATATCACTTTTGTAATCATCTGTCTGTGCGGACATACTTTCTATATAAAATGGAGTTTAACTCTTTAACACTTTTATGGAGTTGGCACATTAGGTGTGGATTAAATAAGTACTTGACCTGTATAACCGGCACTCAAAGCTTGAACTGTTTTATTAATATACAGTACATACAGTATGGCAGGTTCATTACGAAGAAATCTGATGAGTTGTCTTTGGCATTTTTTTTTGCCTTTGGCTATTTTGAATACTTGTCTTCCACAATGTTTAATAAGTCTTCCACAATGTTTATGGTTCGTCTTCTCTAGATTGATTTTAAAGCAGCTTTCCTACTTCAGTAATACAATTTTAGGAAATCATTCCTTAATTAAATTCTATACTTTCAACTTTATAGCCTAACATTTAGTTTGCACCAGTCCATCACAGCATAGACACACAGACATGCACACACTCAGACTAGTGCCAAATGTTCTAGAAGACTTTAACCTACCAGTACATCTTTTGACTGGGAAGAAATCAGAGCACTTAGTGGAAACCCACGAGAACATGGAGAGAACATTCAAACTCCACACAGAGAGCACTCTAGGTCCAGTATTGAACCCAGGCCACAGAGCTGCAAAGCAGTCATGCTAACTACTGTGCCACTGTGATGTCCCTGTAGCTACAGTAAATATTTTTTTAAATTTCATATCCTATGAAAGCATTGTTTTCTAATTCTCTTATTTTCATATCACCTGCAAAATTGACTATATATATAAAATAATCTTGATCTTCCATTTTTTGATAATTATGAAAGGGCACCGGTTCCAGTATTGGTAATTTAAAACAAATGAAATTGAAAATAAAAGAGGGCATGTTCTGTAAGAAAGATATAGTAAGATTCAAACTCAATTTTGTAGTTTCTGGAAAACAGGTTTGATACCAGAGAAAGTTTTAATTTGGTGAGGATTTGTCCTTAATGTCAATCAAATACATACATCATTTTCCACTAATCTATTTCACACTCACACCCCTTTTTTGGTACCCTTAGGCTACTGCAGGACATACTGTACAGCACTCTGTAACAAGACACTTCCAGTCAACAAACCAAAGATTTCCAAGAGATTAAAAAGCTTGTCCAAATACTACTTTCAAACTGCTTGAAACCGGAATTCTTTCAGAGCCACACCCCATTTCTCAATCTTTTAAATGAAAAATGTTGTCGCTAACATGTCTAACATTGCTAAATCTTAACATTTTTTTCATGGACAAACGTCTTGGGCTTGAATTGTCCGTATGCAGAGATAACTTAGTTTTCCGTTTTTCCCCTTGTGGTTGTCTTTGGATGCTTGCCTGAAAGGTGTTTTTTAAGAATTAACAAACACCAAAAAGACTGCAAAGTGGAAAAAGCCACTCGACCCATAATTCTTATTTTTATTGGTAGCTTCATGATAGCAGAGGTCTGTTAAGCCTTTTCCTAAAGTATCCCTCAGTCTCAGCTTCATCATTGGTCCCATGCTTTCACAACCCTCGGTGTACTGTGGAGAGGACTCATCTGTCTGTCGTGAATACTCCTAAATATAAATTCTACTGGTGTTAGAGCTTCCTTGTATGGTTGTTTATCTTAAAGACATCTGTAGTAACATATTTCTAATTCTGTAGAATTACTCTTTACATAATGTACTCTGTATCATGATAAGGTTCAGTTCCCTTAATTTGAGTATCAAATTCCCTTCAGATAAAGAATTAGTCTGGTTCTCCTTTGTATTGTTTTTAGAAAAGCAGTATCTTTCTTGTAATGTAATCACCTAAACTGAAAACAATATTCCAAGTGAGGTCAAAGTAATGAATTAATTTGACCTCAGTATTGAATTTACATTACTTTCCTAGTAATGTAAATCCTACGCCTTTAACTACAGTATAGGTTCTTTTTATTGCTTCCCACATTTTTTAGATGGTGAAGGAAAAGTCAGTACTAAATTCTAAATCTTCCATATACAATGCTTCTTCTAATTCATCACTAACGTTAAGGGCATTGTTCTTGTTCTTGTGGATTTGTTTCAGACCTCTGCATCTTAGTAAAAGCCTGCAAAAACATTCAGATGTATTGACAAAATGTACATTGATACATAACACATTTATTTTACTGTACTGTATATATTTCCACAATACATGCAGGTTGGTGAGTTTTACGGTATCCAGTGTACAACAGTATTCTCAAGATTAACTAATTACATTTTAGAATTTTGTTCATTTACTTTTATTTAAGCATCAATTTCAGCTGTGCCATGTATTTGTATCCCCCCTTTTAAAAACATATGTTTGTTCTGACAGAAGTAAATAATCCTCTCTGAATGAGTTGCACGCGGGTGTTAATATATATTTTTTCCCATTACATTTAAAAGTACTAAATGTACTTTCCTATTTAATGTAACTAGTGGAAATCTAGACTGCCCATTCTCACCAAGGAATAATTGCGTTTGTATGGGGCGTGATTAAGTCTTTAAAATATTTTAAAAGTACAGTACAGTATGGCCATACGCACTGAGAAATAGTATAATACAAAACATTCGTCGAAATTTCCACATTTTATAACTTTGAATATGTCGCTTTTTAAATTAAACGTTCTGCTGTTTGCGGTGCTCTAACACATTAAGTAGACGGAAAATGCACACACTCCCTAAAACGGGAAAAAACAGTAGGTAGTGTGAGCGACATTCAGGGGGTGTAAATTATACACTTGTAGATTATTAACTAGTTTGGTAAAACCTCTGAAGAAGACTGCGGGATTTAAAGGACGTAAGAAACCGGCACTCAAATTACGAGCTGTGTACACGCACAAATCCTCGAATATTGCAAAAATGTATTCTGCGGACACTGAGACGATCTGCAGTTAATTATGCTCTTACTAAACAGTATTTAACTGAAGTACGACTTCGTGTCTTTTACCTAAAAATATTGGTTCGGGTTATTTTTACACTCTTGTGCAGTACATACGTTTTGTTTGTCTGAAAGCAAAAGGCTACTGCACATAAACGTGTTATAGAATGAGTGTCCAGTCTGACACTTAGCAATACGTCCTGAAAAGGCCATTACATTTTCCAGAACATTTAACGTGGAAACACACTATTTTTCGCTCTGGATGGGGTATGCCATTACTGTGTCATATATGGAGACGGAAGAAGCCCAACAGAATGGGCTGTTGAAAAAATAAAAGTTTTACTTCTCAGCCTTCAGGAGTGCGACAGCCAAAGTCGGTTGCAATGTCCAGCGCACTCGGAGAGCTTCCAGAGGCCAAACAGGTGAGAAATGGAGGTGAAGTGAATTTTCGAGATCCTCCTTGGATACAAGAGCTGGACGCAATGGAGAGTGGTTTCGGCAATAAATCGAAAGATGCTGGTAAGTTAACCTTCTGGTAAATGGTTTTGTTAACTCCCGATACATACATTTTAAGTCTGAACATCTCACTGACGTAGTCTAGTATAGATGTCACCTCGTGAAATACAATTTTTTAGTTTGCAGAGAAGTCACATAATAAGTAGACCATAAGGCTGTAAAAATACTTTAGGAGTGATTGTGCTAATGATTTATTACAGGATTCCCAATTCCCAGTCTTGTCCTAGGGACTAATTTCTTTAGATGAGTTGTTCACTTAAATTAATCCTTAATTGAACCAACAAGTTACTTATTTGGAGCTTTTGAAAGTTTTTTTTTAAAGAGATTTATTAGTTGCTTAAGAACCACTGTGGTTAAAAGGCAACTTCCTAAATGTTCAGAAACAGAAAATAATTTCAGAGTTCAGATTTACCAATTATTATGTGTTAATAGTTTCAATAGTTATTTAAGTACTCGTGTGGAACAAAGAACAGGTTTGTGGTTCTCAGGAACAGAACCCCTGATACAGGGAGCAGGAGAGACTGCCAAGGAACAGCTAGTGATATGAACTCGATTGTTGCAGCCTGAGACATACAGTAAAGTAAAGCAGAAAACGGTGTGAGCTGCTTATGACTAAATTGCTTAGTAACAGAATTACCGGACAGGTTCGTATTAGCTTAAGTCAATTACTTTTGCACTATGAAAGTAGTCTCTGCAGAATGGGCTGTACTGTATATCATAAATATGCTTTAAGATATCTGTGTTGTCAGCCATACACAGGTTTTCACATGAACCTGATCACCCCTTACAGCAGGAAAGAGATGTTACTACATCCCTTACAGAATGATTTTGATCCTGTCAGGTCTAACTGGTTTCTTATATACAGTGATCCATAGGTTATTGATATGTCTTATTGATGTCTTTACTGACTCAGTTATTACATTTCTTTCAGGCTCATTTGTAGCAATACATTCTTATTTAGTGCTTTAGTGGTATGAGTTGGGGATTTGCAACTCAATAGAGGTTAAAAAAAGTACTACTTTTTCTACTTTTCCGGGTGGCATTTTGCAGCGGTATCATTTAGAAGGGCACTTGCTAAATTTGCTTTGGTAAAATGCAAAGACATACAGTACAGTACATACTGTACAGTATGGGCAGAAATGTGAGTAGCTTTGAATTAAAGTGTGAGCCATTTAAAATAAATAGGCATGATTTGTTAAGTACATGAGATGATAGGAAGTGGACCGTAAGGCAGTTTTCTATTTTACTATTAAAATACTATTTTAAATACACTGTACTTAAAAATATGGACATTTAATTATATCATCAGTTGTCATACATTGCTAGTTAAAAAGCAGAATGGTTGTTTTCACGTGATGGAAATTAAGGTACATTTTATTAAGTTTATGTACAGTACAGTTGTAAAAGTGAAGACATCATAAAAATATTATGATATATATATACAGTAGTTTCCCATCAAATTCAGTTATGTCAAAGCTTCTGATATCTTTAAAACCAGGCCATTCTTGTACCTCATTGCAAAAGGCCAGAGTTACTGTAGATTGCAGGCTATTTTAACTTGAACATGTGTCTAGCATAAGTAGAACAGAAGTTATGATGGTTTTAAGAAAACCAACATACTGTATGTTTAAATGCCCTTTGCTCTATGGGACAAATGTACAGTATGCACTGAGTTTCAGGACATTAGGAGCTAGTGGATGCCAAATCAGATTGATTTCACACAGAGTGACCACTGTCTATGAGAGGAAAGGGGCAGAATCCAACAAGACACCATCTGTAACCTGGTGCAAAGCTTACAGTATGTCACAGATGTGCAGCTTGTGATGCTTCTGCATCTTAGATAAGAAATAGTGAACACACACCCTGCAAGCCTGTTGCTTCCACAGCACAACCCTGCAGCATAATAAATGAGCATGTTCTTTGTCATGTCTGTTCACTAAAATATCACTGCTGCTTCTGCCAAAAACCTTGTAATTTTCTTGATGGCAGCCTTGCCAATTTTTTGCTATAAGTTGCTTTTGATGCTGAGTATATCTGTCTACTCACACGATTTTGTACAAAAGATGCACTCATTGTTGGAAACAATAATATCTATTTTTTTCCAAATAAAAATATCAGAATAATGTACTGTAGCAGATAAAAACATTGTGATCGTAATCTTACTTACTGCATGTAAGGTATTTTCAGAATCGAACAACTCCTGGGAAGTAAACACTTTGAAAACCGCTCCGTCAGAACACGCATTTCCAACAAGTAAACTACAATGTCAAGACTTCCTCTAAAATACACAAGCCAACATTTTTATTGCGTTTCTGAAGCTATACAGCAGGCTGTATTTACGTGGAAACAACTGAGACTTGGACAGCAAAACCGACTCACTGATGTACAGTTTAGGAGACAGAGGTCTGGCTCAGGCTCTCTTTACACCACTGTGAGAGTCAAGTAGCATAATGAGAGCTCTGCTAATATTATTAATTTAACTGAATGCCTAAAGCCATACAGAAGACATGCCAGTTAATCTTTAAAGATCAGTGTGCTTTCTACACTCTTCATTTAATAATGAGTAGCTTGACATTTATTTTAATTAAACATCATGAGCTCAAACAGCCGTAGGTAATCCATATTTTGTTATCGTTCTTAATTTTGTTAACCCTAACGTCCGGTGTTTGTACAGTAAGATGTTCTAAGAATTGTTAACCAGGTACAATTTAACAGGATAACACCACAATCTTTGCTTTTTTGAACAATGTGGATTTTGTTTGCAAAGCAACACTTCAAGGAAGCAAATATTACTTTTCATTTACACATTATACAGAACAAGAAAGAGCTCCATTTGAGCTTTTATTCAGTTATCTAACATGTTTATTTGGCTAAAGGACTGGAATATCATCAAGTGTTGTCTTATCTAAGACCCTCCTGTTTATAAACAACCAGGTTGCTTTGCTTCAGATGTCTTATCAAATTACTCTATTTTGTTGTATTGCATTATTTTGTAATGGTACTGTATATCATTCTGAAAAATAAACATACAGCCTTTATTTCTTCCATAGTAAGTATAATTTTTGCTTACAGTGCATGTAAAGAAGACGACTGTGCATTTGCATTTTTTAGGGTTGTTTTGGCGATTTGCACCATGTATTTTCAAATTCATTTCATTTTCAGTGGCTTGTACTGGATCGAAACACCTGCTGCTGTTGGAAGGGGATGTTGTTTTATAAGCAGAATTCCTCTCCTTTGCCCACCATTCTGGACCAAGTGATTCCTTGCTCTCACCTTCTGCTCTTGCTAAATGATAAATCCAATCTTTGCCTCTGGAAGCTGCAGAAATGAATCTCGTTGTCGGGTCTCTCTATGGTTAATAAGATGTTGGCACTGTGTTGAGGGCTCCTGCATTTTCTTTCCTTACACTGCTGGATCCTGCCCTACCAAGACATTATTACTCTCCTGCTCCAGTTCATGGACCCAGTGAGTAACAGGAGGTCTAAGCATGGAGTGGTGCTGCCCATGCACCCAAAGGCTTATGCTACAGTTAAATGCTTCAGTCAGAACTGGGCTGGGCTATTAATTTAAAATTAATCAAAACTGCTCCCCAAGAATAACATTTTTTTTTCTGAGATGCAAATTCCACATGCAGTTTGTGAGTATAGATGGGTTTCTAATGTCTGGTGTTTATTCATGCTTAGTTAATTGACTGATGCAGTTCAGGTATTTGGGTATAAATGTAAAATGTCATTAGTCAATTGAATAAGTCTGCACCATATTGTGACTGCAAATCCAGGCTGGGGAAAGCTATCACCTTTTAACTTTCCTGTCCTTTTGATTTTTAACTTTACCTACTAGGTTATTTATTAATAAATTTGATGAGAAGGCTAGATTTATGGAGAAACCTACTGTAGCATTCATAGCATTTGGTTAATGAATGAAGAGTTAAAATATTAATTAAGGGTTGAGAAGACCATGCAGTACCTGTACTGTATGTAGCATACTGTCAGTTTTTGTATTCTTTTATAACTAGGACAAGTTACTAGTAATAAGCATGAATAATGTGCCAAGGCCCCCAGTGACTGTAAAGGAGAGTTTGTGTGGACTGGAGCTGTGACACAGTACTCACTGACAGTATCTCCAAGCTCGGTGTGTATATACAGTAGCAAGATGCAGGGGCTACTGTTGAGCTGCAGAGCAAGAATACCCTGGTCCCTTCAGATCCTCCTGACTGAAGTGGTACTTGACCAGCTGTGTGTCTTTACTTGGTAACTTCCAGGCACATTAAGATAAAAATAATTTCTGAGACCTGAAACAGTGACACGAGACTATAGGCCTCACTTACAGTATCTCTCTGACACTGTCTTGAATGGTTGAGCCGCTTTTAAAGCCTTCATCCCTGTGAAATTCAAGTTCAATTTGCTGCATCTTTTCTTTCACATTATAAATTGTAGTAGTTCTTGTCGACAACCCATTACTTATAAAAGGCAGTGATTTACTAAGCAGTACTGCACATCTGGGATGTACTTGTGATTGTGTACCATACTGTATCTACTGTACAGTTGGTATAAGGTTTGTGAATCCTTTGGAATTACTTGGATTTCTGCATTAATTACTCATACAAATTTGGTTTTCAACTAAGTCACAATAATAGACAAACAGAATCTACTTAAAACTATTAACACACAAACAATTGTACTTCTTGTCAGCACTGAACACATCATTTAAACATTCACAGGCCAGGCTGGAAAAAGTATGTGAACCCTTCTATTTAGTAACTGATAGAGCCTCCTTTAGCAGCAATAACCTCCACCAAATATTTCCTGTACCTGCTGATGAGATTTGCACAATAGTTAGGAGGAATTTTAAGCCATTCCTCCTTACAAAACTGTTCCAGTTCATTGATGTTTCTGGGATTCCTTGCTTGAACAGCTCTCTTCAGGTCATGCCACAGCATCTCAATTGAGTTGAGGTCTGGACTTTGACTTGGCCATTCCAGAACACAAATTCTGTTGATTTACTCCTGTGTTTCTGGTCATTGTCTTGTTGCATCACCCAACTTCTATTAATCTTCAGATGACAGACCGCTATCCTGACATTCTTCTGTAAAGTTTCTTGATACAGTTTTGAATTCATTGTTCTCTCTATGATAGCAAGCTGTCCAGGCCCCGAGGCAGCAAAGCCGCCCCAAACCTTGCTGCTCCCTCCACCATGCTTCACAGTTGGGATGAGGTTTTGGTGTTGGTGTGCAGTGCTTTTTTTGCTCCAAACATAGCATTGCACGTTCCTGCCAAAGAGTTCAAGTTTTGTCTCATCCATCCACAGAACACTGTCCAAGATGTGTTGTGGAACATCCAGGTAGTCTTTTGCAAACTTGAGAGGTGCAGCAATGTTGTTTTTGGAAAGCAGTGGTTTCCTCCATGGGGTCCTTCCTTTAACACCATTCTTGTTCAGTGTTTTCGCAAGTTCAGGAGATTCCTGCAGGTCCTTTGCCGTTACCCTAGGGTTCTTTTTCACCTCCTTCAGCACTGCACGCTGTACTCCTGTCATGATTTTTGCAGGAAGCTCACTCCTAGTGAGAGTAGCAACAGTACTGAATTTCGTCCATTTGTAGACAATTTGTCTTACTGTGGATTGATCAACACCCAGGCCTTTAGAAATGCTTTTGTAGCCTTTTCTAACTTTATGCATCTCTACAATTCTTCTAAGGTCCTCTGATATTTCTTTTGATCAGGGCACAGTCCACATGAGCAGCTCTTTCTTGAGAAGAGCAGACTCTGTCAGTAACCAACCTTTGTGTGCCTTTTTTATAGGGGAGGGCACCTCCAGCCCACACCTCCAATCTCATCTCATTGATTGGAACACCTGACTCCAATTAGCTTTTGGAGAAGTCATTAGCCTAGAGGTTCACATACTTTTTCCAACCTAGGCTGTGAATGTTTAAACAATGCTGTTACAACCCCAGGTGTCTAGGGGTAAAGGGGTGTAGCATTTAGCATGGATTTGGATGCAGGTGGGTTTCTGGTGAAGGACTTAGGAAGCGTGATAACAAGTTTGGTGCAAAAGTGATTTATTTTAAAAAAGTGAATAAGTGACTGGTGTGTATCAGGACACAACAACACACACGGAAAGGGTACTAGAGTGGGCCAAAGAAAATAAAATAACAAACAAAATGAAGCTGGAAAGCTGACCTAACTACAATACCAAAACCGAAACACTCGGTCTTCGGCGTCTTCTAGCACTCTAGCTAACCTTCGCTGACTACCCTAACCATACAAGACAAAAGGCACTCACCCATCCTAAACTAGTGTTTCTAATACAAAGACCAACTACATGTACCCAATGTACAACATAACAGAAGTGTTCAGTACTGACAAGAAGAAGTACAATTATTTTTGTGTTATTAGTTTAAGCAGATTATGTTTGTCTATTATTGTGACATAGTTGAAGATCAGACCCCATTTTTATGAGTAATTAATCCAGGTAATTCCAAAAGGTTCACAAACTTTTTTCTTGCAACTTTATGTATACAGTACATTATGATTCTTTCCAAAATGAGCTCCTTACTTCCAACTATGTCATCTTGGTGCAAATACTTGAATATCATTTACAGATCAATATTAGAATATACATTTTTTCCATTTTATACAGGTTTTTATTTTAAACATTTTTTTCTGAATAGTCTGATTTTTTCTAATGGTAGTTAAAGAGTTCCTTTTATCCTACCCTAATGTCATATATTTCAAATTAAAATTTCAAATTAAAGTCCGGATATGTTACAGTATGTGCAAGTAAGAAAATAATAGAAAAAATAACTAGAAAGTAAGGGAGAGACGGTCTGTGTTGCTTCAGTTAACATCAACCAGCATTAAGTGACTAATTTTCTTTTTTCCAGTGTAAACATCTAATAGGTTACCTTTACTGTTTAAAGTCAGCATTACACTCTGTTTCATATTCTTTCCTCTTCAGCAATCTTCATGAAGCTGGTGATGGTGCGGCGAAAGACAGGACTTCCTGATGAGGAACTACAGGAAATGCTCAGAGGAAAACTGCGTATCCTGGAGAATGACAGCGGGGAGGTCATGGCACTTTTCAGTGTAAGATCTGGAGTTGCGGTATTTTGCTCCATTGTTGTCAGTGATGTTTTGAAGTTCGGACCCTTCATGTGCTCAAGAGAACTCGGAAGTGAGCATGGGTGAGGACAGAGTGTGTTAAAACAGATTTGAGCAAGAACAAAGTGTAGCTCACAAAAATGTATTTAAGCCTCGAGAAATACCGTGAATCGGGCGACAGAATTCTCAAATTCAAAGTGTGTTGTCTTCGTAGGAGGGTTCCTCTACACATTTGGCATGTGAGCTTATACATTCGGGAGGAGGGCAGATCCTATTCTCATACACTCTTGCTTTCTTACATACAGTATCTGTATCGTGACTAGTGCATCCAATTTTGCATCACCATTTCCATCACTGTCTCCACCTCAGCATCAGTCTTCCTGCAGGTCCCTGGCTCATCCAACAAGAAACGTAGAGGGTTCCTAAAGCTTATCTTTGTGATCAGGTTGCTGTTGCCTCAGCCAGGCTGAGTAAATTCAAATCACACCTCTACAATTTATTAGGAATTGGCTGAACTGTTGAAGGGTCATTTAGAAACCTCACAGGGAAATTCCACAGAATAATCATTCAGTGTTATTTATGGGATATTCAGGTACATTTATAATACTAATAGTGGTAATAAGAATAATGATACAACTCAAATGGGAACACAAAAATGAGTTTTGGCACAAACCTTTCTCATAAATGTTTCAAAGCACTGTTTATTTTCTATAAAGAAAATGACTATTGTACTGGCTATGTTTCTGCAGGCACTAAAAGATTATTTCTCCCAATACGATATTTTCACTCTTTGGAAGAAAATACTAGTAGATGTAATGTCATTAATGTAAAGATTATTCTTTCAGTGTTCTACTAGGCTCAATACCTTCATAAATCATAATCTTAATCAATCTTACTGATTCATAATGCTAACGGATGTTTTTTTTTTTAGCAACTTGAGTCTTGAGTGACTGTATGGCAATATATTCATTAAATATTTGACCATGAGTTGGGTCTTTTCAAGATTAAGATTAATTCTGTACAAATACAGTATATGCATATAATGCAATTAAAAAAATAGATTTCTCTATAGCTTGTCTGTTCAGCTCCTTCTGTTCCAAACTGTCTTTGTCAAACTGCATATAAAAAATCATTAATGTCATGTTTTTGTGCAAATTGAGCTTTCGTTGAAAATGTTGCTGTTGAACATGCTCAGCAGATGAAAGTTCAATATTTTGGCTGTCTTCGTGCAATGACTCAAACTGAAAACTGTTAGTCCAAGCTTTGAAATGTTGTCTTTTTAGGAGCTTTCAGCCAGGCTGCTTTCCATCCACAGTGAAGAGGATATAATTGTTGTTACGTTTAAAACATTTGAAGAAATATGGAAATTTAACACTTACTACTCACTGGGTATGTTTGCTTGGTTATTGCATGGTCCACTGAAGTGAATAGTATCCATTGATGATTTCTGAAACAGGAATAATTATTATAGTATGTAATATGTTAATATTTTTATAATAAGGAATATGTAATATTTTAATACATATTTTAAATTTCTATTTCGTTTCAGCATGTAAAAATGATTGGATTTCATATTTATAAAAACACCTTCCAAATTGTGCATCTCGATGAAATGTTAATTGGAAAACTTCTTTAACAATATTTTTCATTAGAATGTATTTATCAGGGTTTGTGGTATTATAGTGTGTAGATGGAGTTGCAGCTTATTGAGTTTTGCTGATTAGCTTATTGTTTTTAGGGCTTCTTGGTCATTGCATGGAGAATCTCCTCCTTGATCAGGTCTTCTGGTTACACCATTTAGATGAAGAGGATTTAGGAATTGAGGTCTTAATCCATGAAGAAACATTACATTTAATGTACAAAGGGATCCTGATGCAGGAAGGTAGGATTCCTGCTTTTTTTTTAGGTTTTCTGTTTCACGCTCTTTGGAGCCTGCCCTGTGATGTTTTTAAGTATTTGTCTAGAAATACTCTTAGATGGTTTGGTTTTATGCTGCATTTCTGACACGGTGGCTTGCTGAGTAATCTCTGTTATTTTTTTTTGCAGTTTAGGCTGTCTTTAAGGTAGAAGAGCCAATAAGACAAAACTATTATTCATTGCCTTAGAACACTTTGTTTTCAAGCTGAGTCCTTTGGTATTTGGTGTGTCAAAATACATCTCTCTCTGTTTCCCAGAATCCTTCTTTGCTGTATGCACTGCTGAACAGAACTGTGAGAGCGCTTCCACAGGCAGTGAGCTGCGCCTGCAGGAGGGTAACGTAGCTATCTTTGAGCCACCCTCGGATGGATCAGAATGGACAGTGCAGTTGTTGGTAGATGGTTCAAGAGGGTCCATTGCTAAACCGGCACTAGAGCCAGTCAGTCCATTTCATCAGTAAGTAGATTTTAACCATGCCTGTTGTTTCTTTTCCATACGTTTAGGTTTCCTTGCAGCACCTCTTGTACGAAAAATTAAATGTTGCTTAGTTGATGAAAGTTGTAATATAACACCCAAAGAGTGCACCATACTCTTGCAATTGAAAACACTTCTCTGTAGTTTTTCATTTTACATTACTCTTGTGATCATTTCATGTGATATGTAGCGCTCTAGTCATAAACAGGTTTTTTTATCCTTTGGTTACCTAGGAAGTGATATTTAAATATTAATCATCCATACATTTTCTAACCACTTTATCAAATACAGGGTTGCTGGAGGCTGTCCTGGCAAACATTGTGTGCAAGACAGGAAACACCTTGGACGTGGCTCCAGTCCATTGTAGAGCACACACAGACAGAGATATGCAGTTAATCTACTGTAGCAATAGGTCTTTAGACTGTGGGAGGAAACCAGAGCACCCAGATGAAACCCACACAAACATAGGGAGAACATACAAGTTCCACACAGATAGCATCCCTGCTCTGGAATTGAAGGCAGGCCCCCAGCACTGTAATTGAACTAGAGAAATAATTTCAGTTCTTGTTTTCATATATCCTCTTGTACATTAACCTATTTCACAGAAGTCATTTGCTCAGTAGACATGGGGTAAACGACTGTAGTCTTTAATCCCTGCTGGTGAAGAGTCTGCTTGCTGCCTCTGCTTTTGCACACTTGACTGAGCAATATAAGTACGAGGCCATTAGGGGGTTATCCTTAGACAGATAAAATGAGCAAGGAAACCCTGTTCCATAAAAGAGCATTATGCTTTACATTGTGCTCTTGAGGAATTACAGGATTTACGGCTTCCTCTCATTTGTTACCTTTCAGCCCACCTAATTGTTTGATTGCTTGAATTTAATTGATGCGAGGCTCTCATTAAGGCATTTCTTGAAAGAAGCCAGGGTGTCAGCTTCAACAACTTGGTTGGCTAGTTTATTTCAGATTTCCACCACCCTTTGTACTGTATTTGTTCCTCCTGGTCTCAGTTTTTAAATTTCTCTTTACTCTCCATTTGGCTCCTGTTGTTTGTGACTCCTTGTAGTGTTCTTTTAGCTTGACAGAGCTGAACCTTGAGCTCAGTATATCAGTATATCTGATCGCTTTTCTCTGGGATGGTTCCAGAACAGCAATATTTTGTAACATGATAAATCTAAAACTTTAAATTTAACAATGTATTTTCATTGTAGTAAGCCTAGAAAAGATGATTCAAAGCAGACAAAATATCAGCTATAAAAAGAACACAAATAACACAAAGTACTAGTTTAAGAAGCAAGAAAACAAGCTGAACATCAGCGGTTGTAGTCTCAGCAATGCATTTACCGCTATCTGGTGGCTAAAGTATGCAACTGCAATTCTGCAACCTGGTCAGTTTTTAAATAACAAAAGCATTAATGCATCTGATGGTAGCTGCTCTTTTCCAAACTAATAATTAAGCGATGTTAAAAGCAAAGCAGCGACATTCAGTTAATTGTACATTATGATAATGATTGCAGTTTCTTTTTTTCTGTGGTTATTCAATGATGCTGGGAATCTAAATTAAAAACCTATGTACTATTGTTTTATTTTTAGATGGTTCCTTAAAGCGTGTCCCGAAAATATACTGATGGGCAATGCAAAACTGCTGTGTGAATTCCCCTACCAGTTTGGTAAGGATAGGTCATTATGTTCAATCAAAGAAATGTTGAGGCAGCATATTTTCAGACTATGGTATTTTAACTGGCTGCCCTGATCACCATAAAGACATTTCATATACGTATAGAAGCAGAAAACATTAAAAATTACTAGTACTGAGTTGAGCTCACATATCACCGTATAGATGGTAAAATGCCTGAGATTCTTCTTTTGATCTTCAATAGGATGTCCTAGGCCAGTATTAAAAGTGCAGTAACATTTTTTTAAAAAGCATTGTGAGAGTGACAGCAAAATATTTGAGTGTCGTGACAGCTGTGAATTGAGTGAGTCTGTTTTTTTTCTTTGTCACATCAGCTGTGGGCTCCTGCATAGCCACTGTGGGATATGAAGGTTCTGGGCCAGATGAACTCAGCTTTAAAAGTGGAGATTGTGTTGAAATTGTGGGTTTCCTCGTCTCGTGCTTTGAGTGGTTTGTGGGGAAGCATTCTGAAACTGGAAGGACTGGGTTAGTGAAGACAAGCCTTGTAAAGCCAACTAATTCTATTTGTGAGTAAGTAACATTTTGGGTTTTTCTTTTTTCTGTTAACAAAATGTGATTACGTACACCGAAATATTATACAGTATCAATATTTTATTGAAAATAGTTTAAATGAATATGCTGGTAATGAGGTTTTTACCTTTTAATCACTCTAATTTGAATTATCCTTAAAACCCTTTATTGTAATTTATTTTATTTAGTCCAGATTTTTACAATTGAGTTCTGTAAAATACTTATATTGAGTGCCTGAGACCTTTATATAGATCATCAGTGCTGATGTGATTTGATATTTGCTTTGACACCCAAAGATTATGATGTGTACACTGCAGCCACTAGTAAGTGTATATAATTTTAAACACTTTTAATCACCTCAGGAGGGAATTTTCTATGTATTCCATTTTAAACACTAAGACAGCTGATTGGTCAGCTTCATGTGGGAGCTGTGCAGGCTGTGGAAAATGTCAAGAGTTTCTGTCATGCTTCTGAAACAAGTCACACACAAGCTGGGCCCTGTGGGTCTGCTGTGTTTTCATTAAAGATGTCAGTACACTAAGGGCACAACTGTGCACAGGTCTCCCTCAGTGTCTTTAAATACATTGTTTTCCAGAGTGACGAATGGAGACAGAGTATGAAATGAACTTACCTTGCTTCTGGCTTTTATCTGAAGTCCAGTTGTCGGGACCAGGATACTGTGTGTAATTCCAAGAAGGATTCTTCTTTGGACGTAATTTATTATTAAAAGCTTCCTTGTTTTCTTTTAGTGGAAAACTGATCTGAAAATCTCATCCACCAATCAAGAAGTATTATCGGTTTTAATAATATGGATAGGTAGTTTGCTTGAGATTCTCACAACCCTTTGTAAAATAATTTATTAGCACTGATTTTGCTTTCAAGTAAATGAGTGCACTCAGACTATGCCAGGGAAATGTGCACAACAACATTACGGAAGCACTGAACCCTTCACTGTTGGAACAAAGCACTTACGTGTGAAAACGCCACACCTTTCCTCAAGCATGTGTCAAGAACATGGTAATGGATGAATCCCCTGATAATATCAAATATCTCCAATGCTTGATAGTCTCACTTCCTGTGCTCTTTATACCACTGGACTTGCAAGTTTGCTTTGCTGTGTGTAATAAGCAATTCATGTGATATCTTACATCACCCCAGTATGAGCATTCACCCATTCAACCTTATCTGTACCTGCTTTCTGTTATCCAGGCCTTAATCAAAGACAGTCTTTTAAAATTTAAATATGCCATATCATATGCTCCTTTTGTATCCATTACTTGATCACGTGATTGAAAGAACTCTTAACAAGTGTGTTAAAATGGCCCACCTGTTCTAAATCTATACTTTTCACTCTTTGGTTGGTTTCAGCTCCATTCCAATGCCATAATTAAATCCAGATTACAAAGAAATGTAAACCCGCTCACCAATCATATGTTTCACACCTTGTCTGAATGATTACTTTCTATTTCCTAGCAGCTTACTGCTAATTGAAACAAGGTATGAGGTGTGCAATTTGTGACTGGTGTGTAGGTCAAAGTTTGGGTTTAGTCTTTCGGGCTTACTGTAGGTAAAATCATTTGATCTCCGGTTTTGTTTACAACCTAGACTAGTGTCAATGTAAAAATTGCTACAGTAGGTTTCTATAAACTCCTCATATGTTCATAATTAATATCACCAGCTGTTCATAATTTGTCTGCAATTCATTTTATTAGTGTTATGTACTGTACTTATGAAAATTTCGGACATAAAGACTATCGTATATCAATAGCTACAGTATGTTTGTTGTTATTTTAACCTTTTTTTATTGCTTTAAATAGTAGAAATTGCCATACCCATTGCAATACACGGGTGCTTTTTTCTAGATCAGCAGAGGTGTTTCTAAGTGAAGAGGAGGAATCCTTGTTCAAATGGAAAGAGGAATTCTTTGAGGAAAAATCTATTGATGTTCTGAAGAAAATGTGTCAAACAGACGTGGATGCTGTTTACAAGCTTGGTAAGGTTAATCAGTCATTGCTGTCCATCCAAATGTTCGATCTTCATGTCAAATTGTCCAATTTAAATTTTGATAATAGTACTTAAAAGGCGTCTCTTAATACTGAATATATACGGCCAGATCAGAAACTGAAACTGGACCTGGTTAGCACTTGCATGGGAGACCTCTAAGGAAAACCAGGTTGCTGCAGCTGTGTTGGTGGTGTTCTTACTGCTAGATTTGTTTCTAAACCAATGCACCAATGTGGTGGCCATAGACTCCGCACTGTACCAGGTGTCATCCTTCAGATAATGCATGAAACTGAAGTACAGAAGAGTTAGGAGTGTTTACCATGGTGTGCTCGCTTAATCGCTTAATCTGGGTTTGTACAATCAGCTGATCCTAAAGTTTCATCAGTTCAGTTGTTGAAGCAGTTTCTCAGTTCTCTCCCTGAACTGCTGTGTAGTGGCATTGCCTATGTTTAATGGCCGTGTCATGTCATGCAGGTGAGTGCTGCACTAAGGAGTTGGTGAATTAGGTCACATTCTGTGTGTAAATTGTTTTGAGAAGTATAAAAGCAGAGAACTGTTGTAATAATATTTTTACTAAATTATTGTTTTTCTAATACTACTATATTTACTGTCTTGAAGATAAATACAATAATTTATTGTATTTATAATACAATAATAGGCTGATAAATAAAATCCAAAAACTATTGTAAAGAAACTGGTTACTCCTCAGTATTGTGATTTACAGACTGGAATCTATTTTGTGTCATATTATGTTTTTATTTTATATAGATAAACTAGATACACAGGATCCTCCAGGAATACCAAGGCAAAGTAAGAATCCCATCTCATTCATCCTGTACTTTACAGTCATCTCATTGATTTGTAGTACCTCAAGAACTTACTGCAGTAATTAAACATTTCCAAAATATAAATGCATTATTCTCAAGACATTATTCATGGTTGTTTTGCTGCTGTTTCAGTTACCAAGTCTTTCGCTCTCCAGAAGATGTATTTTTCTATATGGTTTTTATTTTTTGTTGGTAAAATTAAGACCTAAAAAAATCATAGAAAACAAAGAATATAGGTCAATGCTGATTGCTATAATGTAATGCTAAACAATGCTAGTATGGTTTCTTCCATTATTTCGCCATGGCTGTGTATTATATTCTTCTTCTTTTGACAGCTGGCCTGAATTCTTTTATTGATTGTCAAAGATCCATGGTCTGATACTTTCTTTTGATTATAGCTTCCACCTTCAACAATGAGAGCGATCCACAAAGACAGGAACTACAAAACAAAATAGCTGTGTGTCTGAGCCGACTGAAGGAGCCACATGTTCCCCCGAAAGAAACTCAGCATGAAGACAGGCAGTCAGAGCACCACCATAACCACTCTCTGTCATCCAAGGAGCACAGTGAGCCTTGCTTCATTATTAATAGTGAAGGTGACAATCACAGTGCAGATGACTTTCAGACATTGCTTGCTTTCCTCAACTGCAGTGAGTACAAAGAAGAGTTCCGAAACATCTACGACTTTTCCTTCAGATTTCTTCAGTCCATGTTTCAAGGCTACACAGATGATGAAGAGTTGGTGTTCTACCTGGGAATGGCAAGGGAGAATGCAAGAAAGAAGAAATTCCTCTGGGCTCAGACGAGAATCTGTTTTCTCTTGGGGAAACTGTGTGCCAGGAGACTTAAGTTTTCCCAAGCCAGAGTCTACTTTGAAGAGGCGCTGAGCGTTGCCAGAGAACAGTTTAAAGATATATTCCTGTTAATTTCTATTTACACAAACCTTGCAGCCATATATCTAAAGCAGAAGAACAAGGAGAAATATGTGGCCATTTTTGAGCGGATTGCTGCCTTTCTGATGGGAATTCCTAACTACATCTGCAGCACAGAGCAAGAATCTGAGATCTTAAAATATGTCTTGAAGAAAGCAGTGCTGGCTCAAAACAAAGTTGCTGAAGTAAGGACCTGCTTCCTGTTAGCTAAACTTTACACAAAACTCAACCAGCCTCAGAGTGCTTTGCTGTTCACAGAGAGACTACAAATTCTTGCTAAGGAGTTGTCTCTTACCAGCAAAGTGATGCCAAGTGACTATTATTTGACCTTGGGTAAACTTTATGGTGCGAAATATCTCCCACACTTAGCAGTGAGCTCAGTAAAACAAGCCGTATTCCACACTGGTGCCACACTTACAGACTGTTTAATAGGGACAGAATTTGTCATGGACAATGCCTCCCGGTTGTATAGTTTAGGGAAGTGTGGTGTATTAGTCCCAACACAAGTTGCACCTTACCTTAATAAAGCACTTTATTTTGCAGCCGATAAGAAAGACCAAGTGCTTTGTCAGACCATCTCCTTGTGTTTGTCTCATCTGCATCAATATCATGGCATGCTCAACAAAGCAATCTGGTATATTGATACTGTCATTTCCAAAAATGTTTGGCCAAGTGCAACACATGCAGCCAACATCTTAATTCATCTCGCATGGCTTCACATTTTAAATCGCCAGCATCACATGGCTTTAGATATTTTGACTTCTGGGCTGGGTTCTTTGTCTGAACACTGCACAAAACTACAGAAAGGCCTGGTTTATAACATGCGTGCTGTCGCTCTGAGATACACTGAAGACATAAAACAGGCAGCTGAGAGTTATGGTAAAGCAATACAGATTTGTGAGGAGTCTGACTTTAAGTACAACCGGGCCATTGCGCAAGCCAACTTTGGCTTCCTGTGCTTGCATGCCAAAGCTAAAGGCCTAGCTGAGCTGAGCCTTGTGAGGGCTGTGGAGCTTTTCTCACAGCTGGAAGATGTAGCTCATGAGGAGAACTTTATAACTGTTTTGCTTGAGCTGGGCCAGTATTATGTCAGTCAAACGCAACTGGAAAAGGGGATGATTTGTTACGAATGGGCTTTCCTCATGGCAATCAAGGCAAACCACGTTGAGTGTAAGTGTTTCTTTTTATTAACACTGGATCACCAGTAAAATGGCAGTAGTAAAACAAATGTATCCAGAACAAAAAGTGAACTATATCTGTTTATAAAATTATTAATTACCTTAAGCATTAAAAACATTAGGCATGGTGTATAACTAAGTTAATAAAATACAATATTAATATGATTTGGTTAGCTGTTGGATTTTCTAAAATATGTAATGTTATTTAAGGTTTTTTTATTATATTTGAGGGAGAAAATGTGTTTAGATATTCTGAATGCTAAACTTCTATTCTTTCCATTTGTTAGTTTTGTTGTATGGTTTTGTTGTTTTTTTTGGTATGTTGAGGGTCTATTCTGCTTGTTTAAATATAACTCACTGCAGTACTTTATTGCATTCTACACAACAATCCTCTGTAATGCAGTTACCTTTATTGGTCTTTGAAGGGTTCTTTATTGGAACTGTATTGACTTTATTTGCAGTTGTCAAGACTCACTGAAATACGTAATACTTTTAATTCTCCAATCCTTTCATTGCTAGCAAAAATTATAGGGTTTTCAAAGCTGAAAGATAAATTTGTTGCATGCATTAAGAAAAAGCAAAACCTGTAATCTCACTGCCATCTGCTTGGAAGAGCCTTTTAAAATCCAGTGAACCATCTTATTACCACATCAGCACATAAAAGCCCCTTTATAGTATTTTGCTGGCGGACATGTACAGTATATACTGTATAAATACACAGCGTTGAACACATTTGGCTACACTGGGTTGCTGTGATTTGAGCCCCATCTGTCTTTAATTGACAGATATTATCGTAACAGCTGAAACAATATTATTATATATTAGAAGAGCTGCAGCTCAATTTCCTACAAGAAATAATTCTAGCCTGTAAAGCAGTGATTACATATTTGTGATTAGCTTATTTTGGAAGCACTCATGACTGTTTGCTTCATTCTGTTGTGTTTATCTGCAAATAATGAAAGAATATCTTGGATTTTCTTCAGGAATCTTAATACTCTAATAAGGGGAAAACTTACTTTCAATGAAACATTATATATTGGTGAAATATTAATTTCTTAGAAAGGTTTGTAAGGAAATATTTTATATAAATCTCTGAGCCCCAGTGAGAATGGGTTTTAATAACCTGAAGGATGTTAGTACTGGAATCTTATATGTTCTGCAAATTCTTGTCACATTTTATAAAAGGGATTTCATCATCTGTTGCACTAATGAATGTCTTATGTGCTCTTCTCTAACATGGCTCAGGCGTTTCATATCATTTATTATTGTAAAGCAGTGCTGTATTTTCTACTCTTGTTGTTCAGGCCAACTCCAAGCCACTAAGCAGCTGTGTCACTTCTACCACATGATTTGTCCCAATGAAGCCCAGTGCATAATCTACAATGAGTATATGCTGACTTTGGTCCGAAAAGCAGGCAACAAGGAATGGGAAGGACAAATCCTGGAGACCATTAGTCAACTGTATTTCAGCTTAGGAACTGAAAGGTGCACTGATTTTATTGAGGGTAGAAGTCAGAAAAGAACAAATGTACTTGTGTGATTACTGTCAATTGAAATTTAAATGAAATGTTCATGCATTTCCTGTGTTTAGTTTGTTTAGTAGATTCAGGTAGTGGACAAAAAATGTGAACACTGGGCTAGGAGGAGGGACATCAAATATCTTGGAAATGTATTGAAAGCAAGGGCTCCCACACAGGTATGACTACTGTGTGCACAGGCACAGGATCATGTACTGTATAAAAATGCTGTTCAGGCCTGGTTGCCTATAATTCTGGCTAGCATGGCTGAAGAGGATGCTGATTGTTGGGGGCAGGAGCTTCAGTGACAAAGACAGGTGGACTTGCTGATGTTTAATGATCAACTACAAGTATGTCTAAGCAGTTGATATCACCAGAGAAGAGGGAGATACATCATCAGCAAAGGGTAAAAGTGGACAGAAATACCTACTCCTGGAGAGTGATATGCATGCATTAATACAAAGTGTTATTGACTACAAATTGACTGTAAATTTCAATGTGGGATGCAAGCAGATAGCTTCTTCAAAAACAGCACACTGAGAGTTCCACAGACTGGGAGACCACAGTCAGCGTGCACTGCAATCCGTAAGTCCAGTGGTGCAAAGAAAACAGGCAATGGACTACTGAGTGCAATCTAGTTAGATGAATCATCCTTCACCATGTTCTCGACAAACCGAGCATGTGCCACCAACCTCAAGAACTCTACAGCCCTGAGAGCCCTTTTTTTCCTGTCATTTTTTGAGTGAATTCATTCACATAGAAGGCACGGTCAATACTAATCATTACTTAATCATACTGAGTGATCAATCATCCCGTGTAACACATCCACATACTGTAACTTATGTGGTTGCCCAGTGGTTTGATGAACATAACACTGAAGTTTAAGTCTTAGTCACCACATCTGAACATAATTGGGTATTTATTTGACATTCTGGATAGATGTCTGAGACAGCATTTTCTACTATCAGCCAGGCATGAGTTCATTGACATTCTTACAGAAGAATGGTGCTGCTTCCCTCCTACAGAATTCCAGATGCTGTTAGACTTTACGCCACAGAACATACAGGTCGTACTGGCTGGTAGTGTGTGACCCATTGCCTTATTAAATTAATTTAAATTGGTGTTTCAATTTTCTGTCTACTACCTGTAATATAATACTTCAAATAAGGTTCACAAAACATTAGACAACGTTTTCTAAGCCAATAAGCAAATAAGATTAGTAGGGAACATACAGTACTATAATAATGTGCAATCTTAAGATTTTAAGCATATTAAACAAAGTTCCTTCTATAATGAAAAGACAGAATTGCAAATAGTTACAGGCAAAATGCTTATTGCTTTCAGCAGCAAACACCTTTGATATAAAAATTAAATTAATAATATGGGATGTTTTAATACATCTTCCTTAGTTTCTGAATGTTGATGAACAGTACAGTAGCTACTAAATCTAAAATTACCATTTATCTGCTGAAAAGTTTCAGTTACTATTATTATATAGTTACATGGGATTGCATTACATGGGTTGGGATACCAGTTATAAACAGAGGACTGTTATGGTAAAATCTTAAAATCATGAAACTGTGATATCTTGATAAAGTTGGTGGTATTAGGCTGAGAGTGATTATGGATGTGCTTCATAAAAATCTTATGAAGCAAACATACATCTTTGCTTATTCATGCCATTGAAAGTAGCATTTGTGCCGCTTTCATTCCCAGGATATAGCCTTCTTCTTTTGGAAGAGTTAAGTCACTTGGCCCCCCTACAATGGCTATGGCACAGGAGAACGGAACTGGTCTCATTCGTTTGTGTAGGGGTGGCTGAGCTACTGTACATCACACCCCAAAAAAAGAATATGCTATTCTGTGTTTTGGAAACAAAAGCAGCACCAATGCCTCTTTCAAAAGAACAAACCAGTATAAACGTACTGTAGCACACACAAATTTGGTGGGTTTCATTATTTGTGCTATTTTAGCGCTATTTTCACAGAGCTTCATAAAAAGAATGTGAGGTTTACCCTAAGTAGCTTATTGTTTTTTTTTACATACTGTATTTGCATTTTTTTCCTCTATTTCAGAGCCTACAAGTCTGCTCTAGATTACACAAAGAGGAGCCTCGGTATCTTCATTGACCTAAGAAAAAAGGAAAAAGAGGCTTATGCCTGGTTGCAGGCTGGGAAGATCTACCACATCCTCAGACAAAATGAGCTGGTGGATCTTTACATTCAGGTTCTGTGCTACCTTGTAGCTCTTTGAGGAGTTAATTATTTGTAAATTTAATTATACAGATGTTTCTTTGACAAACCATAAAACCTTAACAAGCATAAAAGCATAAGGTGACGAGTGAGAGGAGGCCACTCAACCCATTTAGCACATTAGGTTGCCGGCAGCTAAGCTATTTCATCCAGCGATTTTTTTATTGACTTTAATAACATGACTGGGCAGCTTGTAACCTGTAACGTTTTGTGTAAAATGTGCATTCTGAAAACAATTTTAAATGCATGCCCATATGTCCTCTAGTTTGTGTTTCACCACTTAACCTGAAGAATTCCATTGGGGTGACTTATGTCAGTGACTCTGAGGATTTTGAATACTTGAATCAGGTCCCTTGTAGTCTTCTCTGTCTTGGGCTAAAAAGGTTATGTTTCTTTAGCCTGTAGGACCTTCCCTTCAGTCCTGGAATGTATATGCTAATTCATTTGAATCAAGTTGGTTAAAATGTCAATACAATCTAAAAATAATTCTTCCTCGTGAATTTTAAATGCTGCAGAAAGCAACTACATGTACCAATGTAAAAAACTATTAAAAATAAGGAAAGTCTTTCAAAATTGATAAGTCTTTCACAGTGAGAAAGACATAGCATTTTTTACGGTGAGTAATTCACAGTAAATCCTCCCTTTCAAGTTGAGTTTGATGGAAAAATTGTTGGTACAAAAGCATTTTTGAAAGATTTACAAAGTGTGAAAACAGGATTTGTTCTGGTTATTTGTTCAATGAAGTTAAAAGTACACGTCACAGTCCATTAATAAAGCATAGTGTTACATCTTCAAGTTTCTGGAACATCCAGTCTAATTCCTCACCAAAGGAAACTCATTTCTGTCCACTTTAGCAAAATGGCAGGCGGCATATGTTTCAGCAAAAAGTAAAGTGAATGTGACTCACTTTACTGTCTCCTCATTTTCTGCAGGTTGCACAAGATTGTTGTCTAAGCACTGCAGACATGCATTTCGTTTTGGAGCTGTTAGAAGCTGCAGGGGATGTGTTCTTCAATAGTTCCCAGGACAGGGAAAAAGCTCTGACCTTCTACAGGGTAGGTGGAAATAAAACATTGAATTTCACTGAAATCAACATGAGTAAGTGGCGGAGGCTGCAAATACTACATTATGTAGGTGTTATTGAATGTTATAGTAATGTATGAATTCTATACTTTAGATGTTTGTCTGATTATAACAGGAATCTTCATTCTTAATGCACAGAATAATCACGGAACCTGTTTAAGATTATTTCAAAAATAATTGGGATAGTGTAAGAGTAGTTATTACAGTATATTAACATCAACAGCAGGCCAGATTTCATTCTCTTACTCTTTAAATCCTTTTCCAACTTCATGATTTTATGTTACAATTTTCTATGAGGACTCCCTATCATTTTTCTTTGTGTTATGATTCTTTTCAGAATTTCCTTTGTCCAGTTTTTTAAATTTTAATTCCTGCCTTTGGCCATTTGGCATGTTTTCACATGGATAACACTGTTCCAATAATATCCCTTTATAAATCTATCTTTATGACTCATCCTACTGTGAAGAGCTCCATCCTATTCACACCCCCATAATGTCATAATATATGGAATATTGCTGACATAATAACATGTTTTTGTCTAGTCCTTTTCCACCAATTCTGTGATCTTAAAATACATTTTCAGTATTTGCATATAACTTCAGAACAGCCTTGTGTCATTTTTCAAGCACATTTAGATCTTAATTTATTTAAATAATTGTGAGATGACAGTTGAGTGATCCATGGCTATATTTCTGTTTCAACTGTAAGTCAGTTTTGACACGAGGTATTAAACATGGCTAAAACATGCTGATCATTTTCCCTCAGAATTAAATGTAATTCCCTATTTAATGTGTCTTCACCTCAAGACATTGACAGAACTTTGTTGTCTTGTTGTATAACTGCTATTTAAGACAAATCAACCTTAATTTATTTGGACTTACTATGCTGTTGTTGCTAAATGTGCTTAAATTGTTGCTTATTGTGTAATATTTTAGATTTATTGACATTCTTTCATGCCAAGTTTGCCACATTTTGTTCTTTATTATCACATTAAAATAATTCTGTAATATTTTATCATACTAGCCTGTGGAAACAACTCACAGAATCATATCAAGTACATTAGTTGTTAATCATACGATGCTATTTTAATCCAATCTTTTTTTTCTGTAAAAAAAAAAGTCAGTTAAACAAATTATACTAATTTATGTATTGTAATCCAAAATCATTTGGTATTTGGAACTTTCAGAATCTGTTTCATATTTCATGTGTCCATACTGTATTGAGATTCAGGAAATCCAGTTTTTGAGCTTGTAAGCTGATGCACCTTAGCAAGATTTGTATGCAAGAGTATTTCTGCTTTCAATCACTAGTAGTGTTAGCATGGAAAACCTCCATTGTTTTTTTCTCAGGGTTTAAATTAAACCAGGTGTTTCACTTACTCGGTTAGGGGACATGAAAGCAGATGGAAATTTTCAGTGTACTTTTTATATGAGTGATTTTAACCCTCTCTTTGCACCTACAACTGCAGTACTGGCTGTGCATGTGTAAAGGAATCTGACCACCAGAAACTCACTTTATACAAGGGAAATATGAGGTTTGGATTCCATTTTTTGGAATTGCATTGTCCAGATAAAATACAGTAAAATCAATTAAAATGTGTACGCTTGAACTACGGCTTGTGAAGATCAGCATGTACTGTATGTCAGTTTTTCTGGAATATGAGTAAATGATGTTTGGAAAAAGGTGTTTTAGCATATACAGTTTTATCAATTTGACATCAAAGGCATCGTACAAATCCAACACTAGTGACTATGGCCAGTCTGGTTATCATTTGGGTCGACTGCAGTGAGTTTTATGGTATAGGATGGCTTTGTTGAAAAACTAATTGAATGGTCAAAGGATGTTGTAATGTACTGTATAGGTGTCTCTCACTGATATTTTGCAACAATTGTTTAAAGAGCCAGTGTTCTGATGTCAACAGGCTCTGAGTACTTTCCAGTTTACATGTGCCTTGTGGGAAGACTGTGTTTACTTCCAGCTTAAAGCTAAATCTAGAAGGGTTGTCATGCAACTACTGTATATAGTTAGAAATGTTATGTAACCTACAGTTACTAGCCTTATTTTTTTAACTGTTTTGAAGATGAGAGGACATTTTATGGATTTTAGCTTGATGCAAAATGATGGAATCAAAAATATGTTTCAGTACATTGAAAATAATACCTTTTAAAGCTCATACACAAAAATACAATATGATACAAATACAATTTTCTCTCTGTGGAACTATTTTTAATTATATACTTCTATACTCTCTGTAGAAGTATTTTCTCAGTGTGCTTCAGCACAACACCAGTAGAATGTTTTAGTAACTAGTTTAAATACAGAGCTCGCAATCTGTGGCATAATGTTTAGGACTCTGGATGTGTAGTTAGAAGGTTTTAAGTTCAGATCCAAGGCAGGGCACTGCTGTCCTATCCCTGAGAAAAAGTGCTTCACTCAGGATTGCTTCAGAAAAATACCAAGAACATGTGCAAATGTAAGTCCCTGAGAATGAAAGCATCAGCCCAATAAATAAATGGTAAGATTCCACATACAGTACATGGAATCTGTTTTCCATTTTCTGTTGGTCTGGAAACGTACCATGTTTTGAACCACATCAACTCACTGCAGTGAAATTTTACCCAAATGTTTTAGAGTGGTAAACTCAATTCCAGGCCCCAAGGTGGAATAGGACGGAGTGCTGTGTTGTTTCAGGACAAAGCCCTTCCGATTGCCTTGAAGACAGGGAATGTGAAGACACAGCTGAGGCTGTCCAACAAGCTGGCGGAGCTCCTGTTGCAGCTGAAGTTCTACGGAGAGGCCGTGGACCACGCCCAGGCAGCATTAGCCATCAGCATCAGCCTTGGTAAAGTACAGGGGGGATGAGCTTGTAGCCTCCAAAACACTCGGGCCTTGAAACTGCAGTTGTCCTGAAACAATCTGTCGTGGTCTCGTCTGTTTAATTCTTCTTACAAACTTATATTCTTTAAAAAAAAAAATCTAATTTATGTCCAGTTGCTAAAGTACGTAACAGCTTTGAGCTGCCCTGAGGGGTTTGCTGTATGGGCCTCTCATAATGAAAACTCACACCCACCCACAGATCATTATTGCAGTATTTCCTTTTATGATTTGATTTGACCCTGTTCTATCAGTGAGGCACAGTTTAGAAAACAAATAAAAACTATTCTTGCTATTGCCCCCAGATGGCAGTGCTTCCATGCAGAAGTTATTTTTTTTGCTGAACTAAAATGGGCCCGATATTGTGAACAAGGGATAACTGGAAGGCCACGGCAAAATATCAATGATGGCATTTGTACATTATCACATATTTTCTCCTACCATATTATGAGAAACTATTTTGGTTATTTAGTATTATGTACTTATGCCGCATTTTATCCCATTTTGGTGAAAGTACGTATCATTTTTATTTATATTAACTTTGACTTGGCTACTATTTTGGATCTCACAGTATTGTAATGACGTTATAATGTAGCTTGTTTATATTCAGAATCAAATAGAAACGACTTTCAGTGTTGAAACTGCTAGTCAGTATTGATAATGACTAAAGTGTTTTTATTTCAAATGTTATGTAATTTGCAGGTGAGAGGCTGAATGAGCGAGTAGCTTTTCACAGACTGGCCACTTTATTCCACTGCCTGGGTCAGTATGAGATGGCTGAGCACTACTACCTTAAGGCTCTCTCCCTCTGTCCCTCACCCCTGGAATTTGACGAGGAGACTATGTACTACGTGAAAGTTTACCAGCTCCTTGGGGACATGATTTTCTATGACCTAAAGGTAAAGACAGTCTTTTCAGTCAGCGATATCACAACTGCGCCATCAGCCTTCAATGTTCCATTGACTTGGTAGTATAAATGTCAAAACATGTGTCCACAGCAAGCTTCTAATTTCATTTTTGTTCGGGCTATGTATTGCATAACTTACATTTTGTCTTGTTTTATATTAAATTTTAGTTGGAATTTAATTTTGGTGCAGTGATAACGAATTTGGTAAGAAATTACAAAATGAAGAACAAGTTAGAATTGTGATGGAGGATGTGGAAGAATATTGTTCTTCCCAAAACCACCTCTTATTTATAGTAGTGAAATAGAGCCCCACTTAACCCCTTACTGCTTCACAAAGACAGAGACCTAGAAAGCCCATAACTAGTTTAATACTTACATGTTAATTAAACTGGTGGCATGTTTAGGTGAACAGAGATTATAGATTATAGAGTAAGTAAACTATGTGTTGAGTTTGACATCTTTATTACAGAAATATGCTGTGAGTCTTGCACAACGACTAGGTGTATTCACACATTTAATAGAATGGATCAAACGTGGGCTGGAGTCTGCCAGGAGATACTCGCTCCTTAAAATGAACTCTCTCCTTCACGTGTGATGCAGGATCCCTATGATGCTGCCGGATATTACCACCTGGCTCTGGCAGCTGCCATGGACCTGGGCAATAAGAAGTCCCAGCTGAAGCTCTGCACACGGCTCGCCACCATCTATCACAACTTCCTCATCAACAGAGAGCTCTCTCTTTTCTTCTATCAGAAGGCCAGGGTCTTTGCTGCAGACCTGAATGTGAGGAGGATCAACCTGTCACCAGACCAGTATTACCAAAGCGTATCTCAGTATAAAACATTTGTCTAACATCTGGAACTTCTCAGCAAGAGGCAGTGTGAAGGAAGGCAGTGTGAAGGAAGGCAGCTGGGCTCTGATGAAGGAAAGGATGAAGTAATGGAACACGATAGGCATTACACTTGAATACTGTACATTGACTTTATAGAGCTAAGTGACTTGGGTGTGCTCTTAAAACAACAAAGTACAACGACAAGAATGTGTTTGATATTATGGTTTTCTGGGTGTGTTGTCTTATGCTTTGTGAATATTTTTTAAAGGACAACCCAGGTTTCCAATGATGTGCTCACAAGATGCTTAAATAGGCCAAAAGTGAAGGTTGTTTTTACTTGGATCTGGATGTTTTTAAACTCCTATATGTTGACAGGTATTGATTAACCAAATTGTAGGGTCAAACATGAAACCGGTTGGCAGAAACATCCTAGTTCAGTTGAAAAAATATTTCTCTTAAGATAGCTTTCCTAATTCACAGGCTTCCACACCCTTAGATCAGCAAGAATTTTTAAGCACCCCATCAGTTCACACGCCTAAATGGAATGCAGAATTGAAAGGTTTCTATAGGACATACATATCGTGAACATTATTTTTCTGTTTTTGGAGCAAAATATAATGAAATCAGAGTAAAATATTTGCAGTATTTTCAGAAATAATTGTACTGCTTTTTATTGAAGAGTAAACAAAAGTGAAGGGCAATGTCTCTGTCACTTATCATATCAAAAATGTGATTATTATATTCAGAATATCTGTGCTTATAAGGTACATCAAACAGCTTTCATGACACTACACCGTCACATGCAACTACATACTTTGCAAAGTGTTTAATTCTTCAGTTTTAATCAGATTGTAGGTTATGCCAGATATTATGAGACATTTGAATAATTAATAACAAAAACTGAAGACTGAAGGAAGACTGTCAGTATGGTTTTATGAAGTGTGTCTTATCTTTCATATTTACATTATATTTGTAGTAGGCATGTAAACTTTGTCTGAAACTGAATATCAAAACAGCAAATCGTGCTCCTGATGCAAAGTTAGTAGTCTCTATTTTACCTATCAAATGGATTAACATATGTCAGATCTGGATAAAGAGTAATAATTTCATTGTTAAAATGTGTAAATCAACAACTTAATAGAACTACTTTGTAGGTACAGTACATTTACTTGAACACCATTGTAGAAACTGCCAAACAAATGTATTAACTATATTTTTCATTATTAAAGAGATCTTAAAAATGTTTGCTTTGAAAAATATGTAGGACAGGCTTTATAGAGATTTTCTTTTACTGCTTGGGTATTATTAAGGTAATGATCTTTTTTCATTTGTTTAACAGTGTTTGCATGAGAGGAGCCAGATATTACAATCTGACCTCTCTTTTAATAAAAATCCAAATCTTTTGTAACTCCTACAAAGGTTTCTTGCTTCTTTTAAATTTAAATGGGATTCTGTATATTGGATTCTGTATTTTACAGTTTCGTCCTTTAATTTAAAATTTAATCTGTCCTGCTGAAGGTGAAAGTGGGGTGGGGGGTACTGTCAGAATCAGTATCTCTAAATTACTTTGACTTGGGACTGCAAATCCTTCTTAAAGGATTGATTGTATAGATTTAAACTACTAAAGACACTGGTTAAAACTGTATTATGTTTTTTTTTTTCATTTTCTAAGAGTGTATATTTTAATTAGTTAATAAGTAAATTATGTGTCAGTTTCGCCTTATACAGTATGGCCTACATGCAGTACTACATAAATACTAGTAGGCTATAATACCTGTTACTTAAGAGGTTCCACATTTGCATTCACCTCAGTATAATAAAATGTCAGCTGGTCTTACATACCAGCTTTAATGTAGTTCTACAATACATTTTCCTGTAGATGGTGTGTTCAAGCTATTGTTGGTCTTTACATCATACTTTTTTCTAAGTCCCCCCTTTTTAAAAAGAATCAAATATTGTAGTCAATCATAGACCAAATGCTCACCCCCTCTAAGTAACTGATACAATCTATCGTTGCTAGTAGATTGTAATTACATACTGTATTGATTTTAAATTTAATTTCAGTGACTATCATGAAAATCTGTTGACTTCCAAATACCTATAAAGTTTTGTAAAAACTAAGAGAAACAAAACAATTACTTATCTCCTCTCTTAGTACAAGTCTTTTTAATGTTCTTTCATACTTCATAGTTCATGCAGCCTCTGTGCAGATTGTGAAAATGAGTCCTAGTACCCTGCTGAGTGAAGTCCAGGCTGCACAGTTCAAGAATGATTGTGCCTGGGAGTTGCTGGAGATTGAGCCAAACTTCTTTCGAAGAAAACTCTTCACTCCAGTTAGGTGTGGTCAAGCAGAGTCCTTTATTCATGCGCATGGGGAGGATACAATCATGCAGATCTGAGAGTAGTCTCCCATACAGATCTGTGAGTAACCTCCCCAACGAGATGGTAAATGCAATGAGTTTTATACGGAAAATTCACACAGGAAAGCTCATTCTAAATTTCCATATTAGGAGTTGTTCTTTTCTCTCTACATAACATTTCTTTGTAATTGACCACGTTCTTCTTAAGCAATTTTACCTTGTATATAGACAAAAGGAAGTAAGTAAACAAAAGGTGTGAAATGAGCTAGACTCTCTATGGTTGTAGCATTAATATCAAAATGTCAAATAATATGCTTGAATTATCCTTTTATACTGCTGCTAAGCAAAAAGGCAAAGGCAAAGCCAAATAGTCACTATATTATATACAGTACTTAATAAAAGGTAAATGCTAAAATTCTTCCTCACTTCAATGTGTCATCACTGACTGGCTTGGCTGCAGTCATCCTATGCTTTTGCAACAGTGACTGCTGTTAACTTTGCAACTAGTGGAAATTAGGTTAGCCCAAACTAGGTGGAAGCTGTTTCTGTCCACACATTGGCACTAGAGTTCAACTGTTCTGGATCTGGGGTGCAAGGTACTGTACTACCTCAGCTTAAAGCATCTTTGCGGTCTTCATATCAATGTGATCTTTAAAGTCAGTGGCTAACTGGCACTGATTGAACATGGTAAGATTAATACAGTAGATGATTTATAGCACGGAAAGGTGGTTAATAGAAGTTAACATGTTTAGCAATATCTGCCTGAATACGTCATCACATAAAGGTGATTATTTAAGGACGTAACACTTGCATTCTGTATTGACAAGTACAGGAAGTAAACAATATGATAAATCAGAATTCTCAAACTGCAAATTTTCACATTAGACAACTAGTCTAATATACTGTTTCATTATTGTTTACTTTCCAGCATTAATACAAGTGAAGAAAAAACTGGTTCCTTCAAAGAAGACTTCTTTCTAGTGGGTTGAGAGTAGTATGGAAGGTGGTATGGTATACTGTACATGTTGCAGTAATGAGATACTACCCAAAAACCGTTTGTCATTTAAGATTTCTTTAGATAGAAAAAAAATAATTTTAGGATTCAAAGATTCTTTCCAATTATCTGTTATCAGTAATCCACCTATTCTGGCAAGAGTCACAGTCCACCCATAGGGCAGGAGGAGCGATTGAGGCACATAACTGTTCTCCCCATAGACAGGACACCAGTCCATTGCGGAGCTGAAGATAAAGGGATCATTTTAAATTTGATTTGAGATGTGGAAGGAATCTCCTAAGATGAAAGGAAACTGGAGGAAAAATCATGCCTGCTCCTCACAGATATTCAAATCCAGAATTGAACCCAAAACCCAGCACTGATGGGCAGCATCATTAAGCTTCATGCTACCATGACAGCCTCATTAATTAATTTATAATTCAGTAAACCTTCATCTATCACAAAACATCTTTGGTTTTGGCACATACCTGTTGTTTAGGTTTTTAAACCCTGAATGTTACACTATTAAGTCTGTATAAACAACATGAAAGACTACTGTAAAAAAAAAAAGATCTTGGCTTTGCATTGTTCCACATGGTTTCTTAAACTACAGTATTTATGGCTTAAATACAATACACTTATACTTTTATTGTGATTTCTCAGAAATTTGTCATGCATCAAAGCAGCTATTTTACACACAGAACATTTCACAATATGCAAACAGTACAAAAAAAGAGCAAAAAGTAATTACAAATAAAAATAATATTATACACTGTAACAGACATAAAACCAGAAATATTTATTTCCCACTGTTCCTACTGGTATCCACAGAACTACACCAGAACCCTGTAAATTTATACCCCCCAATAAAACTAAGCCCTGTAACTACAGAATGTGTATAAATCACCAACAGTATTTTAAATGTTGCTATTTTACATCTTTGTAAGAGGGCAACTGAATCTCGAGTGTCAGTTAAGGGATTAAACCACCAGAGAGATCTCTTACAGGCTTTTAAATTCCTTCCAATTTAGATTTACCTGTTATTAACCATCATTGACACAATTATTACTTTCTAGCATCTGTTGGGGTGAGTACAATGAATGCTTTCCTACAAAAGTTATGCATGCATACACGCATTGCATGCTGCACAGAGCCTGTAGGAGATTTAAGATTGACTAGACTCACTCCCAACACTGGAAACACTAGAGTCATCAGGCAATTTGCAGATCATTTCAGCGGTACTTAGTCAATAGTGCACTTCCACATGGGGAATTTTGGTCACAGTTGGCTGATGACATGCTGTACATGTAGACCAGGGTCATTCAGCTGGTCCTGTGGGGCCAGTGTGCAGGTTTTCATTCCAGCTCTGCTCTGGATAATGTAAATCTGCTCATTATTGTCTTTATTGAGCCAAATTACCAAGTTTTTTTTCTTTTTCATCATGTGCTTATTCTTTAAAAAGACTTAGAAAAGCAGTCATTTCGGATCTACAATATATGACTTCATATGTGCTCCAAGCAAATTCACTGATTAGTGGAACTAATGCATTTGTAATCTCCCAAACCACTCATATTAATAGGTTTAATATAGCTATTTCTCCCTTGTAAACAAATGTAATGGTGCACATCTTTAGAAATATTATAAAACTTAAGACATATTTCACACTGTCTACAGTATCTCTGTGGGTTTGCTTATACATTTGTGGATAATGATGCTCCTTTATATTAGGTCTAGAACAATCTTAGTTTACCACAGCATAAGAGTTACTATTTAGAAGGTACTTATTTTTTGCAATGAAAATTGGCAAATTCTGCTGAAGTTAGAAACGAGTTGACATACGTCCCTCACAGTGTGCTCCTCTCCAACCATAGCATTGGCAGCTATAGCTTCTATTTCTCTGCAGACAGATTCCCCCATTCAGACAGGGATTGGGTAGACACAAACTGACAGAAGGCATTCCAGCTATAAACAGAAATAAAATGTGAACAGCCTTATTTATCCAAGGTGTTTATATTGCAGCAAGTTTATTTGGTTGATAAAAATACCAAAAAAAAATGTTTTAATTTGGAATTCTGCAGGAAGTTCCAATTCTTTTCTATACAGTAGTATATAATTCATTTCAATAGTAATATTAAATAAAAACTTCATAAAGAAAACTAAAAATCTTTATTCAAAAGAAGAAATGTAACAATTTTACAATTGCAAAAATATCCATCTTAATAAACTGTGTAATTAGGGTTCATAACTTACCTTCACATATCTTGCGTACTAAATTTGTCACATAATGCTTTAGATGTTCATAGGAAGGAACAGGAATCATAAAGCTGGAGCTGCCAGCTAATCTCAAAAGAGTCTGGGATTGCACAGCTCCAGGCCCAACTGAAAGCACTGTTATTCCACGTCGTCTCAGTTGATCCGCAAAGAGAATGGCATCATCTGAACTTTGTCCATCAGTTACTACAACAACCACCTTTTGGACTCCTGGCCTAGCACCTTTCTGGATACTTAAGGTGTCTTCTGAGATGTAAAGCAAAGCTTTACCTGTCTGAGCAGCTCCACCCAAATAAGGAGCAAAGCTCACACTTTTCTTCATTTTCCCTTCACTGTCAAAGCTATCTAAGCCGAATGCTGTTCGAGGTTTGTCACTGTATAGAACCATTCCAATTTGTGTGAGCTCAGCATCAATGTCAAACTGGGAAATTACACTCTTGACAAAACTTTTAATTTGCCGAAAGCCATGCCGACCGACATTATTTGATGAATCCAAAGCAAATACCAGGTCCAGGGGCTTTGAATAACAACCTGTGGCAACAGAGAGTACAATGTTAAGCTGAAATATTTATTTTATTGAAATGCTACTTTTATCAACTTGTTGTAAAATTCAAATGTGGAAAAATAATTTAATTGGCAAAACATACAGATATGTATTCTCATGAACAATGTAAATGTTTTTTTAACATACTGTACATGTGTATATATTAAATTAAACTCTATTTAAAACTGAGAACAATAAGCTGTTCTTTACACACAGGGTTTGAGATGATGGAATAAATTGTATGTTGTTGAAGCTGATACCATGGCTTCCTTCAAGAAACAGCTAGATGGGATCATTGGATGAATGATATACTATCCAGCCTTACAGGGTGAATGGCCTGCTCTCGTTTATAACTGTTATGTTCTTGTGCAGTAAAATATGTATAGTTTATACATTACAAATATCTATTTTGAATTCATAAAATAAAATGTATCCTGCTATTTGTACGGACTTCTAATTTATTGAGTGAAATGCTACTTGTGGTGCTTCCAACTCAAGTGGAAAAACACCATATTTACAGTATATTTTGTATTCAATGTCATAAACAGATAGAGAAGACAACTGCTCACCTGGGGCATTTAGCCCACAAATTGTTGTTCTGATTTCTTGCACTTTGCTGTACAACTCTTGTGGTTGAGCATACGTAAAGACCAGACGGGGATCCCCAGTGATGTGGCTCATTTCATTGAACAATTTTTTCCTGCTCACTGTCAGAGTGAATATTTCCATTTTTCTGGTGCTCTCTGCTGCAGCTATCACTGAATCGTGTGATTTAGAATTAGACAGCAGGACCAGGACATGAGGAACCTCCATTCTAGAACCTCGGTCAGCTCTGAATGCGTTTTCAGCGGTGTACGTCAGGGCTTTCCCAGTGAATGTTTTTCCTCCCATGAAGTGGATGACATCGATGGCCTTCGTCAAGTCTGACACACTGCCGTAATGACCAATAGGGATTTCCATAACTGGGATGTCCCCATACTGAGCGATCCCAACCAGAACTTTGACAGAAGTTGAAGCGACAAACTGGATGAGTCTCTTGATGAAATCTTTAGCTATAAGAAACTCTTCAAGGCCCATATTCCATGATCCATCTATCAGGAAGAACAGGTCCACTGCACAATCCACTAGACCTGCAGGTACTAAAGAGTGCAAGCTCTTTTGTAATTGTATGAAGGATGTTATGGACAACTTACAATTTGTTGTATGTTATCACATACTTACTAAGGTATCTGTTTCCAGCTGTAAGAAAACAAATTTGCAAAATTAGATGGAATTTATTTCATGTCGATCAAAATCATTCATCAATATAGTGTGGCGCTGAAGATAATGATTAAATATCAGTTTGAGATTCTAAGAAAAGATAACACAATTATTTGTTTCTGATATTACAATATGAGAGTTTTTTTGATAGTCTCTCCTGTAGAAAAGAGTGAGGAAGTGCATTCAATTAAAAAAATCAGTCTTGATTTACCACAATGCTGGTCACCTCCATATCCTAGTGGGCAAAGACAACTGAAATCCTCCACGCTTTCTGTAATGCAGGTGCCTCCATTTAAACAAGGGCTGGATTCACAGGGATCTAGACCATACAGTATGAATGAGTTACTAGATCTAATGACCAGAACAAATATAACAAGCATCAAAATAAATATATAACCGCAATACATTTCCAAGGTTATTTTCAGTAATATTAAAAACCCACTTTGTAGCAGGTGCTCTAGCATTGTAGGTAAATTCATGTTCTTTAGAATGCGTGGCTGCCAATGGAAGCAATAAAGACTTAAGCTGTACATTAGTGAAAGATGCTTTGCAAAGGTTTGCTGATGCTTTGTTGTGGACTGTGTTCCATTCCTCTTCTAGAGCCTAGATAAGCATGTGTTTGGGCACTGATCTCTGAGCTCCAGGTGCCACATTCTCATTACTTTTCCCCATTTCAAAGGGCTCAGGTCTATCAAGTAGAACATATACAGTATGGCATAACCATCACATTCTCATCTCAAAAGAAAGCCATTGTTACATGAGCATCATGAGGACTTGTGTTGTCTTACTAGATTGTTGTCACTTCAGTCATATTAACTTGATCAATGTAGTGCATACAATTAGTTTTCCTTCAATCTCTACGTAAGGAGTTCTAAAGCAACCAGACACCCCTGCCCAAAAACCCCATTTTGACCTCCCAAGTGCTTAGAATATTTTTTGGCATGTCTGCAATACATTCTCTAATGTCTATCGTGCTGGTCAAAAAACCTTGATTACTCACTTAAAAACTAGGCCTCGTTTCTGACAAGTCAAGATGAGGTGTTCTTCTAACACAACGATGGCACTGTTGTGATAAGTACGAAATATTGGTAACTTTCTGTGTTTTTCTATCATGATTTTCAACATTCAAAACCTAATTACTAACCACCTACTGTAATTACATGTGCCCATGTTTCAGTCAGAATGTGTCATACAGTAAGTGACCTAATATATTGTACTGTAGTGTGTCAGAGGGCAGTAAGTGGAGACATGAAATGTACCAGATATAGTAGAAGGTATATGTACAGTATTGGTTTTGGTCTTGGGAACAGCACCCTCTAGTGACTTTTTGATAATAGAGCGACAGAGTATTGTGTTGGGACAAAAATATATATAATGGTGGAAGTGATTAAACAACTGATTAAGTTCATCCTGACTCAATAGACAGTTCACTAGGCACAACAACACCCAAGAATAAAACATAACAAAAGGTTTAGCGTAATGGAGTCCTTTAGGCAACAAAATATGGATTGACCTTCTTGGCTGAGGGCCTGGCCATAGGACAAGGAGACTGGGACATCCATGTAGAGCAAGGAGTGACCAAGGGGCATCTGCAAAGGTGTGTCACGGGAGCTGGTCCTGACTCCCATGTAGTGCGTATTTAGAACCTTGTGCAGACGGTATAATCCGGAAGAGACTGGAAAAGGGCTACGGGGAAAACAAAGAGAGGAATGGATGGGAGGACTGACAGGGGGCGGTGCCGACAGTGATCCAGGTGTGAGGGGGAGCGCAGGCAAACAAGTCCAGTGGGAGTCTGAAAGGAGAAAACGGGGTGCAATCCAAAGTCCAGGTAGCCAGGAGATCAGTCCAAGACAAAGACAGGGAAAAGGGATCCAGGAACTTGGAAAATTAAACCATAACGGATCAAGGAGCTCCAAGCCCTGGACTCAGATGGTCAGGATGTCTGGGGAAAAGGCCTTGCTCTCGGGCTTCTCCTGAGCCCGGTGGATAGGAGGGCTTTCAGACGTCCGTCTTCTAATACTTAGCCAAGAGCTTAGGAGGCACATAACTCAATAGTGAAGGATAAAACAGGATACAGGTGTACGTAATAATGGAACTAATAATAAAAGGTCAGAGTGCTCTCTAGAGGAGGGATGACGAATGTGACAAAGTGGAGATGGTGTACAAGTGGATTGGAGATGTACTGGAGGGAGAGAAATGGATGTCGTATAGTATTAATAATGGAACAAGTAAAGGTTTATTCCATGCTGAAAAGAGAAGAAAGAAAACACAACATTTCGGCCATGGAGCCTTCTTCATACTTCTTGTGGCTCCACAGCCGAAACGTTGTGTTTCCTTTCTTCTCTTTTCAGCATGGAATAAACCTTTACTTGTTCCTTTGCAGCCTACTCATGGTGATGCAGCTACCTGAACTAGTATTTATAATGTTTTAGATGAGGAAATGACATCAGATTTCATTACAGATACTGACAGCTGAGTCTGATTGATCTTGGCTGTTGTCATCCCTCTTGAACTTTCGTTTTAAACTCCATTAAACAGACTCTTCAATAGAGTAATAGCATCAAAGCAATGCCTTGGTTGAAGAGACATAAAAAATGCTAGGAGATAGAAAGCCTGAGAATGAGGACTGGAAAAAGAACTTGCAGATGGGAACGGAAGATCTGCAGCATATGAATATGGAAACTGATGATGGTGATGCCTGAGGCCCAAAAGTTCATATCAAATGGGAATAAGAAAAAGAGAAGACTAATCTTCTACTGGCTGATGTCCTCCATCATGGAGGGCTTGATACATACTGTAAGAAGGTGAAATGCAGAAACAAGATGGCAGTTTTTTTCTGAAGCACATTCTCCAGAAAATTGTGGGGAATGACCTGCTGTCCTTCATCACCTGATCAATTGGAGAAAGACAGCTGGTCAGCTTGCAGTTAAAAACCAAGAATTAGAGACTTTCAGTGGTCAAGAACTTCTGATGAAACAGGGAACTATAAAAAGATCCGTATTACAGCAGCTCACACCTGGCTGTACCACAAGTGTTATGGAGCTGTCATGTCAAGTCTTTCAAATGTGTTACAGTACAATTTGTCATGAACGGTCAGTCAGTCAAGAAGCCAATCAAAATGATACCACATTTCGGGTATTTAATAAATATTCAAAATCGGTACACTTCATCTTTCAAACAACATGTATGAAAGCAACATGTATGTAGAGGTAATGGAGTAAGAAGGTTTTTTATGGTCAGTACAGGAACTATTGTGTACAATAATCTAACAACCTCAAACAATTCCAAGGAACACCCTAATCTTACTGTCAAACTTTTTTTTATGTCACACTAACTAGTAATAGGTAGTGCAAAGTACTTTACATGTTACACTAAAACAAGCAAGGATTTCACTCCACAGAACAAGCTGATTAAAAATTCCCACTCTCCATACAAACTAAACATTTTGTTGAGTATAGAAATCTGTGATATAAGGAACAAATGTCCATGTAAATGATGCTCCAGAAAAGTAATAACTTTTCTCACTGAAGTAATAACTGAAGATCAGGACTTTCTTACCAGCTTACAAATGAACAATACAAAAAACATATCACATTAGCCTGAAAAAATAAATATTATGAATGTCTATCTACGTATTTATAATTACAGGCTGAATTCATTAAATTAACACATTTGGCAGCACAAAACAGGCAGCAGCTGTTGAAGAGTCTTTAGTTCATTTTCAAAGGTCCTTCAGCAGTATGTTGTTTTGCATAGAATGTTTAATAATCGTTACACGGAAAAATCTGAAATCATTACTTTAAATCAGATGCTTTCCCATGAAAAAAATATTTTTAATGAAATGATTGTGTCAAAAATTAAGTACCTGGACACAGTGTACGGTGACATCGACTTTGTAATGTTCTGTTTATACGTTTCCATCTGCAATTCAGAGCAATATAAAATCAAAATGAATTGTCATTCAAAATCAGTATATACGGTATACTGTGTTGAAACAGAGGGTGAGGATACAACAAGTGGTGATAATTTTAAAACAAAGGAGTAATAAAACAATACCAGTAATGTCCTGACACCAGCTTACTATGCAAAAAAATTAATAAAGGTTAACAATTATACACTTCCTATCTTCAAATACAGTAGCATGCGTTTTATTTTTTTTCTCTGATACAGCCTAGTAACAAAGTAATAAACAGGAGGAACAACTTCAGCTTATTTAGAACTCCACTGTTCACTGTTGACTTTTTAAATCTCTTATCTTTTCCAATTGCACTCTTCCCCACTCTCTCTTCTCATATTTTACAAGGCTTTCTGTTTCCCCTCTGTCCTGACAATTCCAGCGTCAGTTATTCCCTGACCACCTCTTGGCATCCTTGCTCAAGACTTATCTGTTTAGTCAGCGCCTGTGACCTCCCAGAGCTCAGTTACATTTTTTTTTGCATGCTTTTAACTCTCAAACTGCAATGTGATTTGTTAATTGCTGTTATTCACAATAAACATAGAATGTACAGTATGCAATTGTTCTGCCTTCATTAATGCTTTGTATCTACACGATCTGCATACTGTTTTAATTCTTGCTATTCATTTACCTGGCACAGCACAGCTTGTGCTGTTCTTCCAGCTTGTCCTTGCGTTTTTCTTTGTTTTATTAACTTGTCTTATTACCATTATTGGTACAGTACATACTAACTGTAAATTTCATATATACTGTATATATTGGAAATCACTCTTGATAAGGGCATCAGATAATTTGAAAAAATAAATAAACTCACCCATAGTAAGGACACATACTGGCCAGAGGACCTCCATGTAATCCTTTGACTTTACTTTTCCAGCACACATGATTTCCCTGGTACTCTCTGTGAGCTTCTATAGTGGTTCTAAGGCAGTAGTGTGACACCACTTTACAAGCTGAAATTATAAAAAGCCTGCAGTTCTCAAAACTCTTCCTAGGATACATTTATATTCGTTATTATCAGACCTTTACAGAAATGACTGGCATTGGTTGGCAAAACCTTGTAAATTCTTAAATTAATTAACAATTTGTCATCCAAGAGACGTTAGATCTAAATCAGTGGTAGTCATCCTTAATGCTTCAATTTTATGCTGCCTTCCAGTAAATTAAGTACGGAATTGTGCCTTCAATGCTTAATTAACCTATGTCGACAAATTAAGGAACAGCTGAAACAAAGACTTGTAATGGTATGGAAAACAGGTGCCAACACTGACTACTTTTAATATAATTTCAGAATTGGGAACATCTAACTAATTGCATAATAAATACAGTATTGATTTATAAAAAGGACAAGTGGGTAGTTAAGATTTGAAATGAGACACTTTTATTTTGCTTGATTACTAATTAGTGGGGAAATCACCTACTAGGATGAATATCATTGCAAACAGATGTCTGTGTTAATGTTGTGACAAGTCCATTGACTGCATCATCATATTGTTCAGCAAAAAAGACATACAGCTCACTGGGATTGCTGGCCACTCTGTGAAGAACTTCCCATCTGAAGAGGATGTGAACAGTCACAGGTTATTAGACAGATGAAAACTTTTAATCAACGTCTTCAATTTATCACAGTCCAAAATAACTGAATTCAATGACTCAAAGCATTTTATGGTTTCTACATTCTAAAATGATAAACCTATATCACTATAAAGCTTTTGGGAATTACACCTTTATTAAACATTTCAAAGGGAACCAATCCGGGAATCAGTTATGACGAGATACATTTAATTTGTTATTTATTGCCTGTTTCCCCTCTTACTCCAGCTACAGATACAAATTTTACAACTCATTTTTGATTATTAAAAAAGTGTAATAAATCTTCATTTGATCAAGGATACGACAGATTAGATGTCATAGCAATTCCATTCTAAAAAAGAAATCCAAACAAATGTTTTCCTATTTATTTTATGTTATATGCAGCTTGCATTCTCTGCTACTAGGAGATTATTTATTGTCTATACTATACAAGCCCACCTTGTACTGTAAATAATTTGGTTTACATACAGTATGTACACACTTAAACAGTTTAAATAAAAAAAAAACATTATAACTGACTGTCATGTAAAATGATTTATGAGTCCAATAGGTTGCTTTTATAAGTACCGAGTCTGGCCACAAACCCAAAGGGAATGTTCCAAAGCCATTGAAATTCTCAAGAGAGAAATTCCTAAGGCTGCAAAAATGTAGATATATAGAAAAATCAAAATGTATTAATTAAACAAAAAGCATATTTATTTCATCCATTCATCCATTTGCTAACTGCTTTATTCATTACACAGTCATGGGGGAGAGGAGCCTATCCCAGCAAGCAACAGGCACTAGATAAGATACACACTGGACAGGACACCTGTCCATCTCAAAGAAGACACAGATACACACACTCACACTAAGGTTTAATTAATCATGGGTGATATTGTGGTGAACATTCTGACTTCAACTGTTTGATTTAGAGTGGGGGAACAACCACAATAATCTTCTTTTAAGAAAAGCAGCAATTCTGCTAATGTGTAAGACAACATTTTTCCTCTAACACATCAGCTGAGATTTGGGATATTTAACATTGTGGACTGATAATCTGTATCATTTATGGCCTACAGAAATATCTCATGTTTGCTTACTTTGGATGTTTGATTCCCACTGCAAATAGTTTTATTCCACTTTTCTTGGCAAAAGCAGCAGAAGCCATGATATTGTCCTGTGATTTTCCATCCGTCAGCAGGATTAGGATTTTGGGTGTATCTTTTCTTCCTCCTCTGTAGCCTTTCCTTAGAACATACTTTACGGCTCGACCAGTGTCAGTGCTCCCACCTCTTGAAATGTAGGATACAATTAATTCAGTAATTCAGTTGCAAATCCCTAAGGACTGATATGTTTAGATATAATAGTGAAGTCTGGTATGAGTGTTTTTGTGTTTATTTTTGTTAGTAATCACTTTTTACCTATGTTTTTATTCATAAAGGCATGATCATTGGTTCTAGGAAAGACAAGGTTTAAAATTAGCAAGTGCAGTATTGCATAACTTGAAAAAACAGAATACAGTTGGGAAAACTGTAAATATTAAATTAAATGTTTTTAAGCTGTTTAAGGTATAAAACAAGATCAGACTTTGATTTTCAGACTACAGTGTAACTATTAGTTACTTTTGTTTTTATCAAAGTAAAGTCAAACTCAAAATTTGCTATCACTAATAAGAAAGAGGACTTTAGCCCTATCGTACCAATCAAATTAGTCCCAAAATAAAAAGTATTGTCAAGGAACACAGACCAACTGTATCTGTTTAGAGATGACAGTATGCTCCAATACAGGAGGCTAGAAATCAGACTTACTCTTACCTGAAGTAAATATTTTTGATCGCTTCCTTCATTTCTTCTCTTGTAGGGTAAATATTAAGAGCAAATTCTAATATTGCTTTGGAACTATACTGTATCACTCCAATTCGTACCTAAAGAACAACAGCAGACATCAACACACATAGACACCATTGTTATTTTATAAATTTTAAATAATATTTGACAATTCAGCACTATTGATACTATTGAATTTCACCATGAGTGGGCTCAAGGATTGAAATAACGAGCAAGTGAAAAGAGGAATGGGATAATTTCTCATCCTACCTTATCATGCTCCTAAAGGCACCCTACAGCTTTTATTTGGATATTGTGGTGTGAAGCAAGTAATCTCCTAAATGGCATATTGGCCTTTCCTCAGATCACGCTACAATTTACACCCAGTAGAGACGTGACTGAAACTGTTAAAGACCAGTTCATGGAATACAGAGACTGTCTGGTCTGATTGCAGCTACAGCATAAAGATTCTGATGCTGCACTGGGAGTCTCCAACACGCCCTCCCCTGATATCATTGGATCCTGGCCAATCTTGATATTATTTATATGGAGCTCTCTTTGAACCAGACTGGTTGTCCTGGTGTGGCAGTGGAGGTGCTTCTGGTGTTGCAGTTAAGGACTTGTTGCAAGGTGTTTCTGTTGTAATTGTCTGATTTAATTTGGTACATTCTTGACTGTAACAACTGGGGATGATCAAGATTAGAAACATATACTGTAGGAGGGAATGCTTCCATTTTTCATATTTTATTCTTTTTTTTGTTTTGATTGGGGATGGAGTAGTTCACATAAAAACTAATATAGTTACAGTATACAGTAAGACAGAGATCCTGAGACTGATTGACAGAAACATTATATTGTAATTCATCAACTGTTTGGATTTAAATAGGACCTGAAACAATTGGCAATTGCAGCAGTGTTGTCAGGTTTCTTAATAGTAAAATCTGGTTATTTAATCATTCTGTTTATTCAATTTATAAATGCATACTACGCTTCTCACCCGGTCTGGATTGATGTCCAATGCATCAACCATTTTCATTGAAAAATGTTTTGATCTTTCAAAGCTTCCTTTTCCGATACTATAGGAGCCATCCAGAAGGAAAACAACATCAATGGCCGCTGAACACTGAATCACTGAAAGAGAGAAAATCCTCCAAAATATCAAAGATGTTAAAAAATTAGGAAATCTGTTTCACCTAGCCAAAGTTTCCATGTACTTTAAATGAAACAAAATTAAACTAAACTGTCTCTCAGTGGAATAATGTATACCAGCAACAAAACTTTTAATTACTTTGAATTAGTCGCACATACTAAACCTTCATTTTTTGTTGAAGATATGATCCACCCTTTATTTGGATGGATCATATCCCACCATATTTTCGGAATATTTGATGATGTCAGTTGTCAACGCTTATTTATTGAAAGCAGCTGAATTTTCTTAAACTCTTCAGAGAATGCGTACTTTGTAAAGGAACAAGTAAAAGTCTATTCCATGCTGAAAAGCAAAGAGACACAAAGTTTTGGCTGTGGAGTCTTCTTCAGGTATCAAAGCCTTCATCAACCCACAAGGTGCAGTGTGTTGAAGAAGGCTCCACAGCCAAAACATTGTGTCTCTTTTCTCTTTTTTTAGCATGGAATAAACCTGTACTTGTTCGTTTGCAGCCTACACAGGCTGATACGGCTACTCACTTGGAATTATATACAAGTACTGTATATAGTTAACAAATATATATTTTTTAGTTTTTCAAATACTCACAATTCCCTGCAGCTGATATTTTCACTACTGTGTCTTTCTCAGCCATAAGCTGCTGCAGACTTTCTCCACAGATTACTAAAAATGCAGATGAAAAGTTTAAAGTTTTTTTTTACTTATTCACAACAATGGATATGCACCCCAATACATGCACACACGTTTCTGCAAATATCGTTTTTTTTCTCTGTTTTTACACAATATCCAATGCAGATTCTAAATAATAAAAAAAAAATTTGTAATCAAAACTGCAATTAAAATATTAAATGTCCTCCAATTAAAATGGTTAGGTTAATGTGCTGTAATTAGACAATCCAGGCTTGTGGATTTATAACAGTACTTCTTCTGTATACTGTATGAGTAAGTATCTTTAATTTTATTTTACATTGTTCTATGGCTTTTACAATAGGATTTGAAAGGAAAGGGAATATTGTATCACAGTGGTAAGGTATGGGTATGGGCTACCATAGAAATTATAATACAAAAGCCACCAAATACTACTATAAACCATCAAATGTATGAATACATTACCAAACACGGAAAGATAGAACAGAATGAATTCCATAATCATATTCGTCTTCATATTCCAGTGTTGACTCCTAAAAAATAATTGAAAGTAACATGCTCTGTGGCTAAGAATCTGTGCCTGTGACTAGAAACTTGCTAGTTCAAATCCCAAAACCGGCAGAGGAATCCTACTCTGTTGGGCCCCTGAGCAAGGCCCTAAACCCCAACTGCTCCAGGGGCGCTGTACAATGGCTGGCCCTTTGCTCTGACCACAAGCTTTTCTCCCTGTCTGTGTCTCACGGAGAGCAAGCTGGGGTACAGTATGTGAAAAGACAAATCCCTAATGCAAGAAATTGTATAGGGCTAATAAAGCAACATTATCACATTACATTAATAATGGGAAACACACTAGCACACTAAAATGATCAGAATGATCTATACACAGCTTTCCAAATGGAAGCATATTCTATTTCTGTTTAGACAAAAGGATAATGTAGTATCTTAACACTTTTCTTCTATTCCTTTTCAAAGAACCTTTGAAAAAGTGCATGTTGTAACACACACAACATCCATAACTAGAAATACATAAACACATGAACTGCATTTTCAGGATTAAAGATATAAAATATACAGTACATCACATAAAACAAGATCAGGTATTTTAATATTAAGTTACAAAATAAAATAGCTGTACTAAAAGTTTAGCTGTAACAAACTTTCAAAAGAGAAGAAACAGCCACCTTAGATTAAATACATTTGAAAACAATTTTCATTCCAATTTACTGTTTTAATCTTTGAATTCGTCTTCCACCACATGATCAATGCAGAAAACAGAGAGTTCTACAGTAATTGAAAATGAACCTACCTCTTCATGTAAATTGTCATTAATAGAACCTTTTGTAAATATTTGTTCTGTTTACTTTAGTATTCCAATTCAGATTCCTATCATATATATACCTTAGTATTCTGGTTATTCCATCTTAATCTGCAATGAAAGGGGAACCATGCTGTTTGCAGCTTTCAAGTTCTATAAATCAGTATAATGACCGAATGCCTACCTGCTTGGTTCTAAAGGTGAAGCTCCACCTAGTTCCCAAATGAAAACAAAACACTTGGCAATGAAATTGTCTCTTCCCTTTAGGAAATTTAAAGAATTTTAAATGTGTGGAAGCATGCTTTGACTTGAAGAACTGTATTCTTTACAGTTTGTCTTGTTTTAAATATCTAAACATTAAAATTTAGAATTAAGAAATGTATAATTGAATTATACTAATTAAGAAAAGTAATCATTTAGATATGTATATCCTAATCATTAAGCAACGGAATAGAAGGCCATGTCTAATAAGTACAGTTAACAGTATACATTTAACTACTGTAAAAAGTGACAAGTAAACTAAAAAACACTAAAAAAGGGGCAACAGGGACTCAAGGAATCTGATCCTGAATAGAAATAATAGGGTATAAAATACTTTTTTTGTTGTGTGAATCTAAAAATAACCTTTACATGCAGAAATAAACCATCACTGAAAAAATATAAATAATGCGTTTTCTAAGACCAGACCACAATGTGAGTGAGCCTGACTACCTCTCCAGTGAATGTGTGATGTAAGATATCTGACCACACAAGCTTCTGAATTATCCACATACTACATGCAGGGCCTGTACCACACCGAATGATAATTTGCTCATTTAAAAGTAATTTAATAAAGCTCAAGCTCATGATATAATTAGGTCACAAGTCATGCCAGTTAAGTGAAGAACAAAAGCAAAACACAACTTACTTGATATACTTCATGCTGTTCCTACAATAGACTCTACAATAGACTACAGTAGAGAAATGGTGAGCTATTATTAAAGTATTTTCTTATTCATAACACTAAAGTTTATAAAAATTGATTTGTAACTACCATTAATCAGATTTACCTTCATTAACATGATGACCGTGTTTTTCTTTAGCTCAGCATAACGTCCTGTAATAAATATTATTTTTCGGCTTGTCTTGTGCGTTTTGGTGACATGTACTGTCTTGTACTTCACTTCTCATCTCTAGTTCAGCACTGCTTGAGGCCAAGCAATTCTCTAACTACACTTACCGCCAAAAGCTGTTAAGATGGTCAACACGGTCACCAAATAGTGGCAAGAAGCTCCAGTGATCTTTCTTGCATCAGAAATCAAAAACAGAAAACACAAACATCAACCAAAAGATAAAGAATGGGAGAAATACTTATTATTAAAGTATATCATTCCACATTGCCAAGACAGAACTGGAATGTTAATAAAAGTTGTACTGTATTTGTGACTTCATGTGAAAATACAGGGAAGAGACTGAAATATTAGGGAACAGCTTACATGACATTTCCTTAAGATAATAACCAAGGCAGAATTTAATATGTATATGAAAAGACCACTGGGAGTTTACAAATTTTGAGCTACATAAAATAGTGCAAATTAAATATTCCTTTCCATACATCTTCACACACTATGAGAAAAAACACACACACGAGTATGTGCTATGTGCCGTGCTTGTTTAATACAATTCACATTGTATAAAACATAAGATTGTTTTGCTATGGAGTTTTATCCTGATAATTTGGTTACAGCTTAACTTGAAGAGGTCTTTGGCACAGAGGTTACTTTTTTACAGTAACCTCTTGAAAGTGCAGAGTATGTGTGGGATTGAAAATATTGGATCAAAATCATTCAAGAAGTTAAAATTTTTTAACTGTAATTTTTTTAAATTTTTCCTAAAGAATTTTTAGCCCCAGGGTATGGGGAAACGACGGTTCATCAGACAATTGATAATTCAAAGTCTGACAGCGGCACCTGTGAGAGTGACATTCCTCAGAAAGACTTGCCCACAGCTAATCTTTAAAATTTCCGATTCCAAGTCAATACTTGTTGGAAAGGATGATGTCACTTGAGAAACTTACCATTTAATAAATGAAGGAAACATTTGTGTTAAGTACATCTGTAACAAGACAAATTGTAAAATGTAAGCATTCTTATTGCTGCAGTAAGTTGTTTCTTCACAGCTCTAACATCTGTAGGTAAGGCAGTTAGTTCAGGGTGGTCACAGAAGTAATGAAAAATATAGGCAATTGGAAATTCAGATAAATAGTTCAAAATACAGTATGTAAACTTTAATGTTTGAAGTATTCTTGTGCATGGAAAAGAGAAATGGAAAAATGTTTAACAAAAATAATAAACTACAGTTTCATGACGGAATTCCACGTTAACAACTTTCAAGATTCTGAGCTGCTTTAAGTCCGGGTTTGAAATAGCACAGAGATCAGGTGGGAAACCAAACAGGAAGACAAGTCTAACTGTTATGCTATGAGTGGCAGGTGAAATGCCTTAAGCTCCACCCCTGCCTCCTTTTGATGGACAAGAGGCCTCCATTTAAACCGGTGGTGAGTCAGGGTCTGGAACTGCACACAAAATGGTGGGACAAACAGGAGATAAGGGCAGCACAATGGATACACAACAGGTAATGCTAATACAAACAAACACACAAATACAATAATCTTAGCTTACATTGTGTATGACAGCAATAAGTTAAAAAAAGGATAAAGTATGTCAGGGAACCTCAGAGACTTTCAAGTGGCTCCTCAGAGAGAAACAGATATATTTTTTCCAAGTCTGTGTATCAAAGAAAATGTTGGATACAATTAATCTGTTCACATATTGCTTAGGATAGATCCCTTGACCTGTTGGTTCATCTTTAATATTTTATATTTAATAGAAGAATTCTTATACTAACAATAGATCTTTAAATTGGAGTTAAACCCTGTGGTTGAAATGCATTGAAAGCCTCTGCTCTTTAGTTCCTTTTCTTCTGGCAACTGTATAATTCTCTAACTACACGATTAACTTGGTGTTGACCTAATCATATGGCATGTGTTTGTTACTATTCATTTTATACAATAGGAAGTCCACTCCTGCTCCATCAAAAGAAAGAATAAAAGTAGATTGTTAAGGTTTTATGCTATGTAACTGTGAACCACTAGATGGTGTGATATGAATAGAACAGATCATACCACAAAATGCGCAGAAAGGAAATTAATCCTTCTATCAGTTCATAAAAATGGATGAAGGACTACTGCAATTGTTTCTCACTGGACATTAAAGTGAATAGAAAGCTAGCAGAAGAGACCTGCTTCTGTTCTTGTCTTGATAGTACGACTCTTAAGCAATAATGCAAAACATCAATGAGAGCAAGTTCTTTAAGGTACCGGCTATAAAAAATGTTTTAGATAAACACATTCATATTACTGAATGTCTGCTAATTGAGGTCTGCGACAAAATGTAAAAGAAAAATGATCTTTTTGCAATTTTGAATTCATGCTATGCAATGAAATAATTTTAAAATAATTTGTTTTGGTTGACAACCTACTCTACATTTGTACTTCATAGTTCATTAAGAAGACCTAATACTACAAACATTCTCTCACTCATACCTGAATCTATATATTGTTTTCATAGAAAATATATTTCAACATAATTCAAATTTTCTGGCATGTACCCTTTGCTGGCTGAGTTAGGCTCTGGCTGCCTGGCAACCCTGTTTAGAAAGCAGTTTTATAAAGCGGTTTAGGAAATGGATGGATGGGATTCAAACTACGATTATAATTCTTAAGATTTAATAAAATGGTATAGAAAGTATAAGTTTCTCATGAGCGAGAAAATCTTTAGCATCCGGTTTTGAGACAGACATCCCGTAACATCGGTATCCGAGTTGTGAGTAAGCTGCTAAATGATTGTTGCGGGCCCTGCAACTCAGGGTCATCAGCTGGACGGCAGCACAGTGCAGGCTGGAGACTTCGCTTCAACGACAGGGGGTTAATTACCCTTTAGTTTACAGTGGTGTGCTAGTCACTAGGGAGAAACAGAAAGTACTATAGATTAGAGAGCAAGACGTGGCAAAAGAGAAAGGGAACATGTGGTCATAGGCAGGAACCATTCCATAGTCACGAGGAAGTACTCACTGGTGAGAGTGGAGCACTGCAATATTATTACTTTAAATTGTTTATTAAGGGATACTTAATGAGAGATGAGAGAACCGAAATATTAAATAAGATATTCATTCATTAGCAGTTGCTATTTTCTCTTCAACACAATTTAATCCTCTCACCATTAACTCTACATTGTGGTCTGTATTACCATCGGAAACACTGTGAAATGGATAGGTGTTGCTATCCTCCTCTAGTCTTCGAGCTGATAAAATATGTCAGCACACAGCTTTCGGTATTTGGAAGTTGTTTTCACAGCTGCATCAGTTTCCCTTCTATTTCCTAGACGGAAGTTTGCACATTTCTGGGCAACATTTACTCTGTGGGCTTTGAGATGGGTGTTACAGGGAATTTAAACTTTTTTTTCTTTTATCTCAAATATTTTTATAAATTACCCTCAGACAGGTACTGAATATCAAGCAAAGACACAACCAGGGAGGCCAAGGAGCTTTCAGAACAACTTGGGGATAAAGTTGTATAAGAGCACAGATCAGGAAAAGGGCGTAAATACATTTCAGATACACTTAATATCTATTTGATCACAGTAAATTTGAATATTAAGAAGTGGAAGACTCCCAGATGCCTAGTTCAGGCTGTGCCTCCATACTGAGCAGCATGGCAAGGAGATAGTGGTTGGGGAAGCAGCTGTGAGGCCACTGGTGACTTTGAGAGAGTTACAATACATATTTCAGTGGTTTAGACAGGAGAAAATGAGTCAATAATATGCCAGACACTCCACTAATGGCTTTGTCTCGAACTGAACAAATTCTCAAATCCTGCAAGAATTTTGCAAAAAAAAAACATCCCACTGCAAATACTGCATTTAACTAAAGGTTTAGTGGTCAGATAAGACATAATTGTGAAGGTTTGGTTTAAACACCAGTGAACTCCATCCCTACTGTGAAACATGTTGCTGTCAGCATTGTTGTAGTTCTGCTTCTCATCAGAAGGGACTGGAAGGCTTTTAAAGGATGGAAACAGAGATGGAGCAAAGAACTGGCAAATCTTTGAGTAAAACCTGCTTCATACAATACCTGAAACTGGGACAAAAATCAGTTTTCATCAGGACAATTATTCATAACACAAGGAAAACTCTACCCTGGAGTTGCTTGAGAATATCCGATGTCCTTGAGTGGCCCAGTCAAAGTCTTGACTTGAATCCTAATGTGAATTTACCAAAAGACTTGAAAACGGCTGTCCTTTAGTGATACCCAAGAAAACAGAGATTGAGCAAAATCTAGCAAGGAGAATTTAGAAAAAATCTTATCCATGCAGGCTAGAAGAAATCATTGCTTCCAAAGGTGCATCCAGCAAATACTGAGTATATTGGTTTGAATACTTTTACAATCCGCATATTTCAATTTCTTCTCTTTTAGTTTTCGCTGGCACTAACTAAAACCTCTTGCCCTTAGAAGTCTTCAATCTGTGCACTCAGGTTTTGAATAAAATATTAGATTTAAAAAAGATGTATGCATAATTTTGTAATTTCACAAAATTGGATACCACAGGAAAGGTCTGAATACTTTTGTAAGGCATTGTATTTCTTTTTTCAGTATGTTTTGAACTTTTTTTGAAAAAATATGATTAACTACAACAATAGAACAGTGGTGTGTATTATATACATTTCTTTTTAAAGATACATTGTAGATTAATATTTTAACATATTAGGAAAATAACATTTGCAGCCTTCTTTTGTTTTATTAGAACAAAATATATTTTTAGCCTTATTTGTAAAATAAAATTAATCTAATTTTGGGGCAAGCTGTTTGGGATCTTTTGGTGCAGGCTTTATGCAAAGGAATGTCTTTCCAAGGAAATAATTCAACTATGGAGTCATGTGTTTTGTTTCATCCAACAAAACTGGTTTTATTAAGGGCTAATACCTAGGGTGAAATGATCCTTAGCTTATAAGAAGGGTAACAGGAACCTGTATGAATGTAAAATATGCAAACCTTGATATGGCATTTTCTCACCAATAGGCAGATGATCTTCAGTTGAAAACTCAATTTATACAAGTCATCATTTTGCCATTTTGTAAGCATTGAGAGTGATGTATGTGCTGCATATGGAGTTAGTACAAGAACAAGAAGAAGTTTATATTTGCTGCAAATATTCACTCTGAATTTAAATGTACCCTAAAAGTAATCTTCACATAAGTACTTCCAACCATCAGTTTTTCAGAACTTTAAAAAGCATTACAGACACTATCATGTGTCAGAAATACAGTTTTACAAAATTAAAAATGGTACATAAACGTTTGTTTTTTTTTTCTTTAAAGCCACACATCAGTAATGAAATCCAAGCTTTTTCCTGGTACCAGCAGGAATTTCAACTCGTGGTTTCAGATTGACAGATTTAATTTTGCTAAAGGCACTACAGGATGTTACCAAGAGGTCATATCAAGCTTAACACACAATAAAAGAAACGGAAAGCTTGAGGATGCCTTTGAAATACTTGCTTTTATAGACACAGATCTTTAGCAGAACTTTAATGACATTTTATATATTAAACGTCCACTATTTTAAAGGACATTTATAAATTCACTCCTGCACACCAATTTAACCCAATTACATTGACATACAGAGTATTTTTTACATGCATACATTTCATAGTATTCTTGCCAGTAGTTTAAGTGTATATTGGGAATTAAAATATTTTACAATACATTCAGTAATATCTACTGTAACACATAAGCACTGTGAGATATGAATGTAAAGAAACATACAGAGCTCTGGCTATAAGGAGGAAACGGCTCAAGTAGACTGCAAAGGCTGAAAAGTTTGATGGAATGAATATTTTTTTAATATTCTAGTTACCTATTATGAGTATTGTAGGGAGCAAAGCTTATAATTTAGGCATCTTTAATTCACATAGACCTGAATCTTCAAAAAACTTGTTAATGCTCATTGAAGACAAACTACATACTGTATGGTTGCAGCCAAAATGAAGTGCTATGGTGGTGCAGTGGTTAGCATGGCTGCCTTGCAGTGCTGGATCCCTGGATTCAATTCTGAATCTGGGGTGCTATGTGGTGTTTGGATGTTCTCCCTATTTTGCATGGGTTTCCTTTGGGTGCTCTCCCACAGACCAAAGACATACTGTAGGTTTATAGACATACCGTACGTTACATACAGTACACTAGGTTAGTCAGCGTGTCTGTCTGCCCTTGATGGACTGGCCCCCTGTACGGGGTGTACTCTGTACCCATTGTGCCCATTGCTTGTTGGGATAGGCTCTGGCTCCCCCGAGACCCTGAATTGGAGGAAGTAGTTAGAAAATGGATGGATTCATTGAGTGTTAACAACTCATCTATTACAATTTCCAGTATGCTCATAAATATTTTTTTAAACTTGTGTAGCATGTCTTATTAGTGCTTCTGTTTTCCAACTGAAGCAGTTGGAAGGTAGGTACTTTTCCTAGACTTAACAATCATGTTTTTGTAATATTCATTACTGATCCAGTTCCCTACATTACATCTATCCTATATATTGGACATTAATTAAAATAGACTTGCAGTATAAATATGATCAAATTAACAGCTATTACTTTTCCCACCCATTTCACTATTCGTATAGTTACTAATACCATGATTTTACTAGTAATAGTACTTAGTGCATACAGTAATGATTGCATTAAAAAATAAGAAAGCTACTTGACTCTTAAAATTGTGGGTTTATGCCATTTCAGCAGTTCAACGCATAAAGTTGGCAACTCCTCAGCACAAAAAGTAAAGACCTACAGTCATCTTTCCATTATTTTTTTCTGCAGGCGAATTTTAAACAGAATCTTGCGGGCGGTGTGTTACCTCCTCCTCCTCCTGTGTTTCTACAGTCATGATGACCGCAGGGGTCCAGAGAGGCAGCTCCAGACTCCGCTAGCCGAGAAAAGTTCTCATGGCAGGATACAAATAAAACCGCTGTCCGCCTTTGTTTGCTTTAACTGCTGAGACAACTCCAGCTTCGAGGACAAATAAAACTTCCTGACACGCAGCAGAGTTTCTTTTTCTCGAATCGTTTTACATAAGCCTATTCGTGTAAAACGGTGTACATAGCTGTGCTTCTTTTTGTGTCATTTTTAAACCAAGCAAGCGTTTGAATTGATCGTTTTTCTCGAGTCAGGTGTTTTTCTTTATGACTTTTCAGTCGCTGAAACAATACGATCGTGCCTTTCTGGAGAAGCGTTTTAGCTTCCAATGATTTATTATTTCAAGTGTTGGAACGCACTTTTCCATTAGCATTGGATATTGTTATTTTAAGCCATTTCTTTTGTTGATATACTTTAAATGCACAAACCTCAAAGGATAAGATTATGCTCTTAAAACTGTTTAACTGTTAAAACTTTTTTATTTGAGATTTTTTAAAATATACTGCCCTTTCCCTGGTCTCGTACATACAGTACGTTTCAAGTGACACATACAGTACTGTAGGTTATTCTCTTAGTTTGCAAATCCATTGTGAAACTAAGAATGAAGCTTTTTTTATTTGGAGGAGTTTTACTCGTCATCCAAGAATTTATCGATGCCGAGCCTAGACCCAAGTGTCCGTCGCGCTGCGATGTGAGTAGGTGCCCGAGCCCCAGCTGCCCCAGCGGCTATGTTCCCGACCGATGTAACTGCTGCCTGGTGTGCGCCCACGGCGAAGGAGACCCTTGCGGGCGCAAGGATGACTTGCCTTGCGGAGACGGTCTTGAGTGCAAGCACCCGGCAGGAAAGCGCCTTGCAAAGGGGGTCTGTCAATGCAAACTGGCCTATAAGGTTTGTGGCAACGACGGGAAAACCTACGGCAATGTTTGCCAACTGAAGGCGATGAGCAGGAAAGCTCTGCAGCAAGGACTGCCAGCGATTATCCAGGTTCAGAAAGGACCCTGTGAATCAGGTAAGTCTTTTTTGTTTCAAATGCTGACAGGCTACAAGACTTTGTGATTTCTTAGTTTTAATTTCATTGGTGATTGACTCAATACTATTTTTTCAAAAATAATGGTTTACTAAATAAGTTGACTGGAAGGCTCTGTTACTAAAAATCCCATTTAAAAATGACAAAACCTTTTGGTTTTCTCGGAAGTACAGTAAGTCAGCACTGAAAAGAATAAGAATTGCATTCACATCTGAGTTTATCTCTGATGAAGATTAATGCAATAACAATAATAATGGATCTATATACTTAAAATGTCTTTCATATAAGTATCTGAAATACATGGTGATAATAATAATAATTACTTACACTTACAGTATATAGCGCTTTTCTTTATACTCCACTCAAAGCGCTTAAAAATAATAATTGCTTACACTTACTGTATATAGCGTAAGTGTTTTCTGGATAAACTCGCAGTTTACTGGCAGTTGGAGGAAAATATGAGAGGTCTGCCAATTCACAGATTTACAAGATATTTAATAAGTTCCATTTAACCTTTGAAAATTATCTCACTTCATCATTCCTTATTAATATTTCAGAGGAGAATTGGCAGGTTGTTTAAAATTTGGACCAGGGCAACCTCTTGCTTTATTAACTATAAGTGTTCCTACTGGTTGTTTTGCGGACATAAATTCTGTTTACATAAAGATTTTGTTTTTAGATTGGCATAAAATAAGACTAAGAATAATGCGTTGTTGACTATTTGTGTAAAATTCAAATGCATTGAATACTGAAAGTAAGGCAATGTTTCTGCTGTGCAAAAAACAGATTTGCACTGGATGTAACTTTGTGCTTCGTTGCTACCCAGTAGAGTTTTTGCACAGATGCTCTCCTTTGATACTCTGTCAAAGGGTGACATAATGCACCAATTCATGCTCTCAGCCCACACTTTCAACATCCTATAAAAACAGCTGTTAGACGTGTGGCACGAACCCCTCAAAGTTTCTAGATTGTCATTCTGCCCAGTGGGTGACAACTATCCAGCAAGCATGGCTTGAACTCTGTCCTGTGCCACTGAACAGTTACAGTTATTCATTACCATACGCCAAGAAGGCTACAATGTCTCTTCTATTACTGCTGCACCCTGAGTGTGGTAGCTAAAATGCCTCTGTCATTTCCTGCAGTTGACAGGAATGTTTTTTTTTTTCAGTCCCAGACAGCTTTACTGTTTTCAGAGTCCAGCAAAGAACAGCACAATCGGTAAACGTTTCATTTGAAAAACTGAACACCATGCCCTTTGGTGGTAACTAGCAATTTGTGTTTGTTTCCTGGGAAATGTTACCTTTATTTTTTTTTATCTGTGAATGTATAAAAGATTCATCATCTAGTAAACTCACTAGTAAGCAGGACTATTGGTGGTATAATTTAGAGGGTAAGTCATACGGTGATTTTAAAGTCATAAATAGATGATAATTGCATGCATAAGACCCCCATGGTTTTACCAGTTTCAATCACACTGCATTGAGGCCAAATCTCAGTGACCCAGAGGAGGAACACATTCTCCTGTCAGAAAGTATCTGTGATTGATGCATATCTGGTGAACTGTGTGTAGTGATCCAATGGCAGGATCATCAGATTCAAAGAGACTACAGCAACTATGATTGACAGTATGACAAATCTAATGAAGTAAGAGCAAACTGTTTGGTGTTGTTTTATGCTCAGGTCTCTCAAGACAATTTATTAAGGCAGATTAGGCAATCAGAGGTATGCCTGTGCCAGTTAGTTATAATTAGGACTCTAATTGCTTGTGCTAATGAATCTAGATGTAATGAAAGACCCATAACCAACAATAAAGTAATCTATGATTCTTATAACCATTTTTCAATGTGACCAGGCTACAGTACATGATTATGAAGAAGGCTCTACAGCTGAAATGTTGTGTTTCTTTTCTTTTCAGCATGGAATAAACCTTTTCTTGTTCCTTTACATGATTATATAACCAACTTGGGCAACAACCTGCTGAATATAATGGAAGGTCCGATTTTCTCATTTTTGTTGGTGCTGGCAAAACATTGTTTTTGAACAGCACGGTAATTGCGAACTTTTGGAGTCAATGTTTTGATGATGATGGCAGACTTTGTTGACTACATTTTGAGTCTCTCTACCCTCTACAATGGGAATTGTAACCCTGTAATCATTTCAACTATTTTAACCCAACTGTGCACTTCTGGGAGAAATTGGGTAGATTATTTGGTGTCAGACTGATACAGCAATTACATTGCATTTTCTAATAGTATAGAAAAAAGCATTTAATTAGGAAGTTAATGGAATTCCGTAGTGTCTTCAAAGTGTAAGATTTCATCATTGATTTTACAATCAAGTTTGGGAGAGACGACATAAGCCAGGTTCAGTTCTTCCCAGCTATTCTGAACTGTAATCAATTCCTGATTCTCAAATTGTTATCATTCATTTACTATGTTAAAAACTTGTAAATACTATACATACTGTATGCCTTTTCTTCTTCATACTCATCTTTGGACCTCTCCTCCACCTTTTCAGCTACTTCTTAAGTTCATTTCTTACTGTATGAGTCCTATGGTCAGGAGGTCAGTCAGCCCTGCAGGTTTGACGCAAATTTGCTATGACCAAACACTACGCGTGAGTCCTCTGTCCTCTAACATGGAAACGGAGTAACTTCCTGTTGTATTCCATGGTCTCATATGATTGGGAAAGGGCAGTTCCCTAATCTAATAACCTAATACCTATTTCTACAATAGAAACATTGATTTAAATGACAAAACTTCACCTATAGCAACCTTTAAGTTAACCGTTCAGTTTCTTTGAGCTTATATCCAACAACATGGTACTGGTCTTCAAAAAATACCTGAAAATAACTTTGAACAATCAGCCTGTTGAAACCAATGATTGTCTCACAGCATCCTGGTTTTTGTAGTTCTGACTTGCAGGCTTTAGTCAGTAACTACAAATACTATCAAGGCAAGGTTGTAAGAGGTATAAACCTTTCCATTTCATAATATACTTCTGTTACCTTGCTTCCTAGATTATTGCACAGGATAATGTAGGTTGATTGTATAAGGTTTTGATAGGACATAATTTGGAAAAAAAACATTCTGACTGACATTTGGGGTCACAATGTATGTTCAAGAGTTCTGACATTAAAAGGTGTAATGTTTTAGTTTCATTATTTGATTACCCTAACCTACAGTATTTAGTAAAGATAATACCATATGTGTTTAAGCTCCATCAACCTTAATACAGATCTTGACAACAGAGGCCTTAGGAAAATACTAATGTACCACCAATTTTTCAGATCTAAACATAATTACTTGAGAACATAAACTTGACTGTTGACCGTTTGATTGATCAATACAAAGCTATAAACATTCACTGACTCCCAATAATGAAAGGCAACAGGAAACTCTAGAAACTGGTTAAATAGATGTGTATATGTTTTTGTGGTTGAGTTTGACTTTGATTCTGAATTAAATGCCTGTGATCTTCCCTTGAGACATGGTAGTCATGAGCTGTCAGACTTGCTTATTCCTTGACACGGGTGACTGGTAAAATTACAAGCTCAGCCCAGTCTGATTCCCAGTCGTCCATGAAGTCTGTGAGAAAGCCCTGAGTGTTTTTTGACACGGAAACTAGCTACAATCGGAGTGTTTTATTCACAGTCCCATGCAACAAAATAAACTTGGTAAACATTTGCCTTTAATTTTCTATACAGTACTGTGGTTACACAGGATCCAAGCAAAGGCATCATTATCAGTTCAGATTTTTCATAAATTAACTTACTTTTCATTATGCCAACCAGGTTTGTTCTATCAGCTGGATTTATTATTCATAGTAAGTTCACTTCAAGCTATTGTCACTGAGGAAGATTCGATTCAAATGTGTGACAATCAAACATTCAGTAGTAAAAGCATACTGTAACACTGCAATAGTAAGAAGAGTATAAATGTTTTTCGAATTTGATTTGTCAGCATTACGTATCGATTTAATTAAAACACCACTCTTCAACAGTAAAACCTTTTATTTTAGACTTGTGGTTAGTTTTATTAACTAACACAAAACTAGGTGTGCTATTAGGTTTTGCTACAGCTGGTCTATAAATTCAAAATACCCATGTCACTGAACTTCTGTCTATAGATTTCTGAAGTCAGTAATGCTTTACAGTTACAGCATTGATGGCATTTTAGATAGTTGTGAAAATTGTTTTTTATTATATTTTAATTCTATCAGTATAACAACCACATTCTCTTTGTGAAATCTCAAGAATATATGAAAATAGATGGAGAAACACAGGCCTGGCTGTTCATTTACAAGTCTTCAAGAAACACCAGTAGTCCAATAGTAATACTACAGGAGGCCTGCTTTTGGCAAGCCAGTTGATGAAGGGTAAAGTAATATTAGAACCCTGTTTTTCACTATTCATTGCCTCTTGAAATCAGATCTGAATACTGCTTTAGAAGAGCCTCGGGTCTAATGTATTTGAAACCCTACAGTATGTTAATTCTTCCTAATAGCAGGTAAAACAGTTCCACGGGTTAACATGAATCAATGAGTACACAGGTATAGAAACTGGCTATGATGCCTTAGGTATAGGAACTAACCTCCAATGAACCTGCAGGACTACTTGTAGTGTATTTACATCACAAGTCTCTAAGCTGGCAGGCCGTGGTGACAGGTCCCACCCAGTGCTGGTGGCTTCACGGGTGACAGTTGTGCACTGAGGATGAACTCAGATGGTATCCCTTAATTAGAGCTTTATTTTAAAAAAATTAGAAAACACCAAGGGAGTGTTTCCAGTTTCCAGAGGTTTTCACCTCTGCCAGGGATGCCACAGGACAGAAGTCTTGCAAATGGTAGCAGAGAACTAACTAACCAGTCTGAGAGAGGATGCTACTCCTGCCACCACCTTGTCACCTTGTTGCACATTCATTTTTCTAAAATTTGAAATTAACTACTGGAGTCAAATTGCATCTTGTAATTCCAATTCTTTGAATACTTATGTAATCTTACATTTAAGGCAACTCTCATGCATGTGTATCTCATGTAGTCTCTCCTCAACAGCTGTCTAAAAATGGTCACTAAAATGAATTCCAATAGATATTTCTTGGATTCAATTGGATTCCCTGCTAATTTAAAATTTTCATGAAATTCCCATTATCATGCTTATTATCAATTCATTTTTAAGGTCTGAAATTGTTCCTTTGCAAATGTTACCCCTCTGTTAAGAAAGCAGACTCTTACCTGTTCAGTAACTATTGGTGAATATCTAACTTGTGATTTAGCAAAGGTTCAACATTTGGCATATACTGTTCTTTTACAAGCTCACTTACTGTATATACAAACATGCTGTGAGTCCTTGGCCTAAGAGCAATGCATAGTATAGAAACAGCTCTTGATAGTGTTACTAATGATCCATTCTTGTCCAGCTGCACTGTAGTGCTACCTTTAACATTTGATCATACCCTCTAGTTAAATGGTTTAGAAAAGGTAATTGGTAGTACTGAAAGTGCTTTGTTGTGGGTTAAATATTCCTGATAGAAAATAGTGTGCTTAAATTGGCTGTTCCTCCTTCTCAACAAACTATGTCACATCTCACACCACACAACTGCTTTCTCCATTTCTTTTCATCACTTAATGGTTTTTATAAATGTTTGGTTCAAATTTTCATAAGTACAGTATGGCATCAGCCTTCATTTCAATGTTCAATTTTGTATTTGTTTGTAATTAGATAAGATCACTTTATTAGCCATATACAATTTCTTGTATTAGGAATTTGTCTTTTCACATACCTCAGCTTGTTCTCCATGAGACACACAGACAGGGGGAGAAGCTTGGGTCAGAGTGCAGGGTCAGCCATTGTACAGCATCCCTGGAGCAGTTGGGATTAAGGGCCTTGCTCAGGAGCCCAACAGAGTAGGATTTGAACTGGCAACCTTCCAGCCAGAGGCACAGTTCCTTAGCCACAGAGCCACCACTCTGCCCATTAGTCATGCAGTTGTAACACATAATGTTAAAACTTGGATGGAAGAACATACAAACTGACAAGATGAAAGTTATGTTGCTTGGATCTCTTTAGCAACACTGCAAATGTTTCAGCCTCAGTTTAACCAATTATGTTCTTGAAATCAGTGTAAGTACTGAAATGAGGAATCTTGGGGACACTTTTGATCTGTGCCTTGCATTTGAATCTCATTTTTACAGTGTTGTAAAGGTGTTTTTATTTCATCTTTATAATACTGTGTGTATCCATACAGATCTTTCCCAGTCTGATGCAGAATGACTAATGCAGTGTTTACAGGTAGATTAAAACTTTGGGCAAATTGCATCATGTTCAGAGCTCAGAAATAAAAATGCATGATAATTTACTGTATCACCTACTTTATCTCCCTGTGGATTTCAGAATAAAATTAAATATACTGCTTCAATCCTTTAAAGACTTTTAAGTTCAAGTATTAACTCACTATTACATACATGATTTTTGCTTTCTCTCAATTCCCAACATAATGCTCAGACCACTGGGAAGCTGCTTTCTGGTTTGGATTTGTTGCTACAGTACTGTGGAATGACCTTGCAGATCATATGATATTTTGAAGATCTGTAAACATGTTCAAATCCTCACTTCCAATTTACTGTTTTAATTTGTGCAGAACTGTCTCTGTCACTTGTGTTTTATTGAGGTGATGGAACGTGAAAGGGGCTATATAAAATGTAGGTTTTTCTTACTTGTAACTTTTTGTTATTGACTTTTAAAACATGAGTAAAAATACATACAATTGCTGGAAGTTTGAAAATACATTTGCTATCCCAGCACTAACCAAAACATTTACCTTTTACTACTGTACATTCCTGCCAAGAATTCAGTGTCAGCTATTTATTTCTCTGCCAGTTTTCCACAGCTGCAGTCACATTGAATACTTCTGTTGCAGAACATCAAGCAAAGCCAAGCTGTGGAAAAATGTAAACATTGACATTTAAGTTACACACTTTAACTTATGATTTCTTAGAGGTTAAAAAAGCAAAGCAATCGAAGAAAAAATAGTCTCTAAAATATAAATAACCATGGGGTGTATGTTTTAACTACAGTTTCACAACAAAACAATTAAAACATTAAGACATGGAAAACATTGTTTAATATATATATATATTCAGTGAATTTCATCACCTTTAAACTAACAAGACCTTTGCTGTTCAACATGTGGTCTATCACACTTATGACTAGAGGTCCACCAAAGAACAGAATTCCTCATTGAAGTGTTAGATGTTAACTCACTAAAGCATCATGTCAGTGTTAATACTGTGCAACAAATGTTGTTAAAGAAGTAAAAATGTTGCATTTGTACAAAGACGTTACTCTCAAACATTCACAAACGTTTTAGTGTCTCGTGTATAATTAAATCTGCAGTGGGACTTATGATACAAAGGATGGATATTTAGATTAAATTCATCACCAATAAGCTTTTTATTTTTTGCTGTGAATATACTAAATAGAATTTTGAAATGACAAAGTGGCAGACGCCTTTCTGCAAAGTGAAAAATTGCAAGTTTAACTATTGGCTACCAACTGAGAGTATAGAGTGTTGGAACCACCCTTAAATACCATGAAGGCACAAAATTATAGAGAATGAGTATGACTTAACCATAGCCAAAAAATGTACAGGAAATGGTGGTTTGAAGAAGGATTCAGTTAAGAGTCTGTTATAAAACCTGTGTTCCATGATGCTATGTGCTGGAAATAACTACAGTAGGTGTAATTGCCTTTTCAGAAAACAACCCAAAATATTTCAAGATCTGTGAGTCTACATAGAAAGACATTTTTATTCCGTTGGTTATTTTTAGGTACATGTACATTCATTGGTATTGGGTCCTGCAGGGAGACTTAACTGTTTTGTGTGTGCCCAACAAAACAGAAAAAAAAAACGTTCTTTTCAGATTGCACATCCTTTGTAAAAGGGGAACAGATAGCATATTTTAACGATGCACACAGAGTAACATTTAAAACTGAGGTCACAGTAATACTGGTATTTATATAAACAAAAGTTACTATTGTACCTAAGGTGTACTGTACTGTATGTTTTACTTTGTTATAAATACATTTTATAGTACTGTAGCAGTAGTAAATTCTAGTGAGATCTCAATCTCAATCATTGTTCTCTCATTCCTCGCAGAGATGCTATACTATTACATTAAAAATATTTGAAGTGTGCTTTTCAACTGTTAAAAAGGTTAAATAACAGGTATGTGTACTTTAAAAAATGCTGAGAGCTCTCTTTTTGCCTCATGTTGCCTCCTGCAGGAATGCATCCTAAAAATACAAAACTGTATTCTTTTTATTAACAGAATTTGGAAGGGAGACATTAAGGCAATGCCACTCCTGATAGTTTGTGATCTTTTCCACTGTCAAAAACAGAGTATACTGTCCCTGAGCAAGCAAGTGAACAGAACAGGAAAACGTTCTTAACAACACCTACTTAGGCATGTCTCTGGAACCAAAGGTATTAGACAATAAGCAATGATATGATAACAAAAAACCCATATCAAAGTAATCAATAACTTTCTATACTATGGGAAATAATGAGTGAATAAAAAAACATAGATACAGTACAATATCATGTACTATAAATAAATACTGTAGTACATGATATTGTAGAATATGTTTAAAATAGGGGCAATAAATAGCATAATGTGTTTAAATTATATATTTGTTTTACAATATATTTCTTTATGAAAAAGAAAAAATATTATTCAGTGTACTTATTTTACCGAAAATATTGCATTGGCTGTTTTTTAACAAAATAAAAAGAGTTTGTCAGTTTCTATGCTTAGCATCTAAAACAATATATATGTGCAACTCCAGAAAATTCACATCAGGAAAATATTTTATATTTTTTAGAACAAGTGCATTGTCATTTTATTGAACAAATATGACTGAGGTAAATTTTTCTTGCTACTGTAATTAACACTTGCCATCAGGGGGCTGATCAGCAGGGGTTCGGTTTTGAAAATCTGTGGTTGGTAGTATGTGTGGCCACTGTTGAAACACCACATGTTAAACAACTGCAGCATATGCTTTGCACCAGATAGAAGGTGTTGTCTTGTGAAATTCTATCCCATTCCTCTCATACAGCCTGGACAAGCATGTGCCTGTATGTTGGTTTCTGAACTCTAGATTTCACATGTCATCTCATATCATCCCACAAATGCTCATGAATCTCAAATCTGGTGAGGAGGGTGTCCAAGGTGTAACTTACATTCTCATCTTGTAAGGAAGCAGCCATCACACAACCAGCATGGACATTGTCTTGCTGAAATGGTGTTATATCAAGATGAGCTTTCAGGAGTTTCACTTAATCAATTTCCATCAATTACTACACATGGAGTTCAGTAATGACTAAGTACTCCTGCAAAGAACATCACACTAGGGCCTTTGTTGCCTAAAATTGCTGGATCATATTTAGCTGAAAGTGCTGGCTCTGAACACCCCAGACAGTGAGTGAAAGTATGCCAAAACATTAAGTCGATATCCAAAATCTGTACTTCATTTTTCTATGAAGATGCAAGTTTGAAGAGAGTGATTTACATTTGCTTCTGGGTACTGTATATAACAGGTATACCCTTAAAAATGAAAGGATGTACAGTATGGCCCCCTATATTATATTCTACAATGACATAGTTAAAACACAACAAATAGCTTGAGGGTGAACATACAGTTATGCTTATTCTGGTGTAAAAGGGGACCTACTCAGATGTTTCAGAGCTAAGTGTCTGTTTTTGTTTTTGGTTTGTACAACCTGTTGTGACGTGTCTTGTGTTCCATTTTTAGTCATCAAAGATATGCTGAGATACTGTTTATTAACATGAACAATTCTTTCTGCTAGTATAGGTCCTCAACACCCCAACAGCCCAAGGTACAAGTTTAATTTCATCGCAGACGTTGTAGAGAAGATTGCACCTGCAGTTGTGCATATCGAGCTCTTCATAAGGTATGTATTCTAAAGGTGAAACATTAATTTGGATGAAAAGTATTTAAAATGACGTTTCACATGACATTGTTGTTTCTTGCTGATAGCAAACTCAAACTCCTTGTGTTATTGTTTTCAAAATATTTTGTTAGATTAAGAGATGGGAAAGTATGGACAATGGAGCAATACATTGAAATGCACAAATTAAATTAATCTGTTAGATCAGTGATATTTTAACAGTATAGATTTTATACCATTTTGTGATATGCACAGACAAAACAAAACTGCCCATTTAATGTTAATATCTTGCCTCTTTGTTTTTCTTTCAGACATCCTTTGTTTGGTCGTAATGTGCCATTGTCCAGTGGATCAGGATTTATCATGACTGAGACGGGACTCATTGTGACAAATGCCCACGTTGTCACAAGCACAACTGCTGTATCTGGTCGGCAGCAGTTGAAAGTTCAAATGCACAATGGGGATACTTATGAGGCCACTATTAAAGATATAGACAAGAAATCAGATATAGCGACTATTAAGGTTAATCCACAGGTACGCAGATTTTTTCACAAAAATTTAAAATAGGAAAACAGTGATTAATCTTCTCCATATATACTGTACAATACGTATTCTTTTGGCAAGCATGGATTAATGATTAAGACTCTGGGCTCAGTGCTGTGCGCTGCTTTCTTAACTATGAGTAGGGTACTACACTCAGATTGCTCTAGCAAATGTTTTGCTGTTTAGATTGATTCAATGCAGGTTACCAGTGTAAATGAGAATTTTTAGTTCAAGGATCAAAAGAAAAATAAGGAAAGCTTTTCTTTAATTGCTAGAAAACAAGAGAAGCAATAGTTTGGCAGGAGAAATCCTGGCATGTCATATTTTAATGACCTACCATTCAAAACAGTAAAGCAGCCCACTTCACTTCTATGCAAAAGGAATAGCCTCTGGTCAGTGCTATTTGTCATGTTTTGTCATATTTAATAGGATTTGTCCCAAATTACTGAAATCAGTGTTCTAGTCTTAACTCTATATACAGTATAAATGCAAATGAAAGACTGCTCTGGTGAAATATTATAATTTTTAATTGAAAAAAGTAGTTTGCTTGTAAAAAGACATTTTTTCTAAATATGACAAAACTAGATGAGCAGATTAGTTTTGGAGTAGTTGTCACGCCCGCTGCAGCCAGAGGACGTTCCTACTCTGTCCTGTCCGTAGTTTCCTGTGCTTCGCTGTCCTTCCGGTGTCTCCATCTCTCTGGGGCTATATATTTCGGGGTCACTCATTCACCTTCGCTCAGCATTGCCCACCTAGTGTGATCGTCGCGGTTCCGCGCAGGCTCGTGCCCTCCGCCACCTGTTCTGTCCCGCACACCTGGTGCGCAAACCCGGGTCTCCGTCGTAACACAATAGGGAACCAGCCGCATGAGCTAAAGGAGACCTCCGCCTGCCCAGGCACCTGAGGTCCCTGCTATGTGCAGTGAGGGCGCTGACATCACCGTATCCAAACTAGCTCCGCTACACTAGCACCAGGTCGCCCCACGTCTGCTGCCTGAGGGCATAGGTTTCTATATGTCTCCTGAACTGCTGAGCCCGGGCTAATCCCCTGTTCTGCCACTACACACGTGGGTCTTTTTCATCCAACATCCATGACAGTAGTTGCAGTTCGCTTGTAAAAAAGATATTTTTTTACAGTCTCTCTTTTTTCTCTAAATGTGACAAAATTAAATGAGCAGATTCTGCATACATGACATGTCAAACATGTCAACTAAGTATACCAGAAGTCCTGTTGTTACATTCATGTTTTTGGTGTATTAGGCAAAATGCTAAGTGTTTCATTTGTACTTTCCTCAAGCATTGGCTGCTAGGAGCACTTCTGTGGCTTGGCTGAACTACATAGGGAGTTCACTTGGCTTTTGCTTGTATTGGTGTTTAGTATCATTTCCAAATGAGAGCTAACAAAGAGGCCATTTGGTTTATATTGAGGCTAGACAGTCAAGGAGTATTTCCAATAAGTTGGATCAAAATCTTTTAGAAGGCTTAACATGATCCAGCTTGAACATAAAAATCCTGTCAAACATTCAATTTCAAAATTTATTCATGACCAATAGTCTCTTTACCCGGTTTCTTACATAATATGTAGTTACAGCTTTATTTTAGTATACACATTACAGGTACTGTAATAAGGTACAGTGCAATACATCTCATGAGATCTTTTAAAGGATTGGCACAAGGATGCCAGTGAGTCCGTTTTGAGAGGTGAAATGCAAGAGTAACTGAGTATTCCACGGCCTTCACCGTGAAGCAAAGTCCTGGAAATAGATGATTGTTAGACATTATATTATTTTTGTATGACATTTGGCCTTTGGGCACTGATGCATTGGCCTTTGGGCATGCCTTCTCAATTACCCTTGTCATTATGAAATGCAGTGTTAGTCTTGCCTTACCAGTGGTACTCCCAGGGCAGAAAGGCAATGTGCGCACTGTCTAAGGCTTGTGTTCTTAGCCAGGAGTGTGTTTGAGTGTTTTGAATTTCATGTCATAGGTACAGTACACAAGGGCTCTGCATCACTTTCCTTGATCTCTTTCAGAAATAAGGTAAATAGATCCAAAAGGGTATGGGAAGTAGAGAAATAGTAATTAAGTAAAAACAATTAGCTGTGTCAAATTTCAAGAGTGAAATTAGGTTTAGTTGCTCTGCTAAGGAGATATATTTTTTGCCATTTACTACTCTTTACAGTACATGTCTTTCCGGCATTCTGTTTTGATTTCGCTTAACCAAATACTCCTTTGTTTGACAGAAAAAGCTGCCAGTGTTGTTACTGGGCCAGTCAGCTGACCTCAGACCTGGGGAATTTGTTGTTGCCATAGGAAGTCCCTTCGCTTTGCAAAACACTGTGACTACAGGGATCGTGAGCACGGCTCAGAGAGATGGAAAGGAGCTGGGCCTGAGGGACTCTGACATGGACTACATTCAGACAGATGCAATCATCAATGTACGGGCAACAGATACACAACCCGAGTCATGTCTAGAAATTTGATGTTCATACTTTCTGTGTTTTTTGAGAATTGCACATGAGAAACAGATCATTTGCAACTGTGTACCATCTCTTTTGGCCTGAATGACTGAATGTACTGTATTATAGTAAATTTTGTCTTTCATCTTAGACTACTGCTGCTGTTTATATTATTTATATCATATAGATATATATTATAACAGATCTTTTTCCATTCTTATTTAGAGTGACTGAAGTGCTGAGTCTGACGTATAAGGACTAATTCATACACTAGACTTCACTGTTGAAATGCCTTTTTTGTGTTGAAGGTTGTGACTTCGCAAGCCTGGCTGCTTCTTCATAATGCAGTTGTTCATGAGGATTTTAAGTAGAACAAAATAAATAAAAAAATAAGCACTTTTTAAGCTTCCACTAAAATTCAAACATGATTTAAAAGTTTTGTCATTGGTTTAATGTAATGAAAATTTGCTTACGTATGAATTTTGTAATATCCTTCATTATACATTTGTCAAATCAATTCAGCCCTTTTCTCCATTTATTTTACCTTTTTTTTCCCTTTTTTCATAAATAGTATGGAAATTCAGGTGGACCTCTTGTAAACCTAGTAAGTAAAAACGATTAACTGCTTTGATTTTGAGTCAATTATATTTGTATGAAATGTAACTGAATTTTGCAACATGATAGAAAACCTTATTTTTAACATTAGAATTGCATTAGTTCCCAACATGGTTTAAACCAAAGTTGTAATGTGTGCATCATGAAATGCACTTCAATAGATGCCAGAAGGAAGTGCTTCCCATCTCTGACATTTCAGTGATGTACTAACAATCTTGCTCCCTGCTATTCAGGATTAAGTGGGCTGCTCACACTGTCATTCTCTCTAAGTCTTGTTTTAGTTAGGAATAAGGTACTTTAATATATTTTATACTCTGTTCGTCCTTTGTAAATAAGAAGTATCTAATAAAGACTTAAAGGGGACCTACAACACTATTTTTATATTTTTGGGCTAGAAAGAATCTGTATTGATGAGAGCATTTCAAACCACAACAAAAGTGAAATGTACACAGTAATGTGTTAAACCTCCAATTTGCATCACAAAATAGGCACAATTTGCAGGTATGCCCAGCTCCGTATTCTGTAATTTAGAACAAAACATCCGGCAACAAAACATCCGGTGACATGACGTGGCCTTATTACATTGCAAAAAAGGGAAGTTTGTTACTATAGTTTTTCTAATCCAATAGAAATATGACTCTAGACTTTGAGACAGCTTTTCCAACAAATACAAATTGCTGTCACTGCATGCAGATCCCATTGGAACATTTCTGTCGTGTTAAAATTTCTGCTGCACAGTCTGATTATTTGTTCGTACATCTTACTACCTTAGTCATTACAGTGACTAGTGAGCAGGAAGGGCCACTTCGCGTTTCAATTCGTGCAAACTCTCTCACCTCTGGCAAGAACAGAGGTTTTCAACAACATGGCGACTATACAGTACTTTCACAAAGTTCATGATTTTGTGCTTTATTCGGAACTTGTAAAATTTTGTGATACCTTTTTGTTACCAATATTTAATAACTGGTCTGAGAAACTGGGACTGCAGTTCCCCATTAAACTACAAATATTTCTTCAACCTGGATCTACTTGTAGCTAAGAATTGACTGACACAAATATAAAAGGAATATCAGATAGAGCAGAAATTTAAGTTTCTGCTATAGCCTTAATCTTTAGTATAGCGCTTATTATTAGAAGATGCTACTGTATATTGAATAATACATTTTCTCTTTGCTCCAGGACGGAGAGGTAATTGGAATCAATACCTTAAAAGTCACAGCTGGAATCTCCTTTGCAATCCCTTCTGATCGGATTACTCGCTTCCTCAATGAATCCCATGACAAACACAGCAAAGGTAATACTGTCTGCTTCTAATACAGTGATGAAAAAGGCTATCAGTTTAAATAGCTAAGTAACATCTTTAGTTACATTTTGTGAGGTAGTCTACATCCCTTCTTTTTCCTCAACATCTTCAAGTGATTGATAGATTATGGACATACAATATAAAACAGCTTGTTTTTACAAAGGCTCCTATAAGTTTTAAACAAAACACTATCCTCCATATCTATTGATACCAGTGATGAAACAGGAACATACTGTATAACAGAAGGGCTACTTTCCCTGACTGAGTACATGATTTACTGCTTGTACATAATTGTAACAATTATTTAATATCTTTCAAAATCAACACATAGCAGACAATCTTGCATAAAGTACAATATGTTTCCATCACAGCTTTGAGATACAGTACATAGTTTTTTCTAGGCACAAATCATTGCAAATGTACAGTGAACTAGTGGTTATCCTAGTCTTAAAATGTGCAGTATAATATGTAAAATATAGTATATATATTGTTCAACCCTGGTGTCTGATGGTATATTTATAACAAAGACGTTTTGTTTCTTCTGTTGCAGTGGTCTCATAGAGAAATACTTACAGTACATGACTTTTCTGTCTCATAATTAAAGATTATTTTTCTAAGTTGTCATTAGTTGTTTCAAATGAGTTTTTTTGTGTGGTGGCACTGATGAACAAAACTCTTTTGGCATATTTTTCATGCTTTTTGTTTCCAAAATCCATGCTTTGTGTTTTATCTTGATTGTAGTACAACAAAATATTTTGTGGAGATTTTATTATTTTCCACAGTCTCAGACATTGTGATCTGATACAGGTGAGACAGAGAAGGAGAAATTGTTTATACTACCCCTCCCACATTACTACAAAGACCTCTGTTGTTGACACATCTAGGTTTCTGCTTGTTTTCTGCTAAATAAAATGTAAAATAAAAAAAAGATTGTTTACACACACTGAATATTGACTTGGACAGCTTAAGCGTCATATGTTTCTAAAAATAGGTAATATGATAGGTAATATACAGTATGTGAAAAGAAAAATAAATAAATGAGTCTCTCCTTTTCTACATTTGCACCTTTTAATTGACACAACTCTGAATATATTCTTGAAGTGTGGTCAAAAGAAAGTAGCTGAATGTACGGGCAGTGAACATCCATCCAACTTAACATTGTTGGCTTGCTATTTTATGTTTTTTGACTGCAGGCATGAAGCAAGTAGTTTATTAGTGCAAACAATGACATTTGTGCTAGATAAATATTTTAAATGTGCCTTGAACACCACAAAAAAGGGGGCTTGAGGGATCTTAAATATAAAGGATGATTTACCTTTTGATATGATATGCATTATGCATTTGAGTGATACTCATTTTGGGGGTCGAAAAATTATTTTTACATTTCAGATGAGGCCTCTATTCAAATAACCCGTGGAAGTGCAGTAGAAAATTTAGAAAGGAAAGAAAAGTAACCCAGAAGATGACTTCTGTTGAATTCCTAAACATTCACGCAAGGAATAAATTATGTTTGCATGGTGTAAGAGAGCAATGCTTATTCCCAAAGGCTCAAACTGTACTCTAAGGTCCTAAAACAGGATTTAAGTACTGTAGAGAGAATCAACACGTTCCTATTTTTTCTGCTCCATGTGCATCCTCTCAACCCATAGCCTAAGTATTTCTGCAAGTATCAGAGATTCTGCATCCTTTATTTAAAAACAAATAAAAATGATAATTCCTTTTCTATTTTTGGTTGAAATCTAGGCAGATTGTCTTCATTTTATCCATCCATTATCTAACCACTTTATCAATTCAGGGTTGAGTGGAGCCAGAGCCTATCCCAGCAAGTAAGGGCCACAGTCTTCATTTTATGAATTTCGTAAATTGTTATCATTTAGTGATTTTACTGAAATGCATGTTTAAAAGAAAAATTGTTAAATAACATTATATGTGTACTCAATGTGGTGTGCAAATTGTTTATTTTCAGAGCTTAAGGCAGTAAAGAAGCGTTTTATTGGCATACGAATGCTTACTATTACTCCAGGGTGAGTAGTAATTTCTATTAAATTATGTTCATTTGAACAGTCTGTAATAATGCAACAGTACAAAGCCATAAAGTCAGTTTTGAATTCTGCTGTGACAGACCACTAATTTTGTTTTTTATAAAGGATGTATCTATACATGTCGTGGAATTTGTTTTACAAATAAATCCAATCATTTAGCTAAATTCACCATGGATGAACTAAAATTATTCACTGTGAGTGTTGTTCTTTCTTTGATGTTTGAAGTACAGGATGTAACTTCCAAACCTTTCACCAGCTTAAAACATTTGCACTGTCCAGTTCTTGTATTGGACAGTTCAAGTGTCTCAATTCTCAAAAAACATTGACAAACATTTTTTTTAATCTTTGTCAGTTATTGAATTAAAAAAATAAAATGATATAAAATAAAGAATTCATATTCCCCCATTTCAGATCGTAACATTGTAGTTATTATGTCTCAACAACTTGTCAGAGAAAGATAAAGTGTTAACATCACAGTACACTCTATGTTATAATCTGGATTTTATTTGGGTTTTCAATTAGGCCATGTATTTTATTTTCTCATACTGACAAGAGAAGTGAGGGCTGTTTAAACAGCTGTGTTTGCTCTTTTTTATAGTCTTCCTTCAGTCCCTCACAAGTGAGTCAGCACTGCACCACTGAAAGCATACTTATATTATGTTGTTTCTGTTCAAAGAATGAAATGCAGATGTTTTGCATCCAAAGATACCAATTGCTTTCTTCAAGAATGAAGTGTGTGGCACAGAAAGCAGTGAAAGATATCAGAGTGCTTGTAAAAGGAAAATTTCTTATAAGCTGTACTGACAAATTCAGTGTTTATTGTGTTGTATTGAAGGATTTTAGTTTCTAAAGATTTAATCATGTTGTAAACATACTGTAGGTCTCAGGGGATTACCGATATTCATTCTAACAAACTCTTAACAATACTTTTACACACATCATGAAGAACAGTACAGTATATACTATTCTTGCCAAACATTGTAGATATTTGCATCTTAATTTTGACTGCTTTCTAAGTTTCAATATCCAAAGACTTAGAATTATTTGTTTTTTAAACAGGATGTTACCAGGTGGATTCCTTCTGAATAATTGATTGTCTGTTTTTTATAGCTTGGTTGAGGAACTGAAGCAACAGGACTCTGATTTCCCGGATGTGAGTAGTGGCATCTATGTGCATGAAGTTGTGCCAAATTCCCCAGCTCAGAAGTAAGTGCACCTAAAGATGCTTATCTACGAGTTAATAAATATTTATATACATATTTTATTTTAGTTTTTGTGTTTTACCTAAGGAAAAGTGTGTTTCAAGGCAGTATATTAAGTGTTTTGTGTGTTTTGGGGTGTTTTTTTACTACTGTGTACTACAGTACATACTGTAGTTTATCAAACTTGAATTTCAGTAGCTATGCAATTAAATAGATGTTATTAACTTGTATAATTTCCCTACTGAAACCTCTTTAAATCAGAATGCTCCTCTCTAATGTGTAAAATAGCTGAACATGTTTGTGGATTGATAAAGTAAATGCTTTTAATGTGTCATTCTTAAGACACATTTGCTGGGGAGTCTTGATTCGCTGAACAGATAGGTGCTACAAATTTAACTAAGTGCACCAAGAAAAACATGTGTGAAAAAAATCCAGTAATTTTCCAATTAATCGTAGCAAGACACTACATTTTGTTGATGTGTAAATCAACAATGTTGTTAATTTGTAATATTCATGCTAATAACACTAATTCATGCTTACCAACATTTGAATTTGTTTTCATTTTTGCAAAATAAACGCAAGTACAGTATGTCCATTAACACCAACATAAAATATGTTTTCAGTGTGGACAAAATTTGAAAAAAGTTTCAAAGTTTCAGATTTCAGATCTAAAAATGTGGTAAAATGTTTTCTATTTCAATAGCACTTTGTGCCCTTTATGCAGTTGTTCAGGTATAATTTATGGGTAATAGGGGATGTAGTATAAATGTAGTCTAAGACTTAAAAGAGAGTTAAGAATTAAAAGAGGGAATTAAAATGTACTTCATATCATTATTGGGAATGATGTATTGCTTTATATGGAATTACTTTAAAGTATGGACAAACAAATGTTTGAAGCTTTATAATCTAATGAAACAGCAAATTAATATTGACACCATTTTGTTGAATTACAAATTTTGTATACACATTTGTCATTTAATATTTTCAATCAAAACTTGCATATGCAAAGTAAACAAATTTATGAGTGAAATAAATTAAATGTCAGCAGAGAAATGCAGATAAAGATCAGAAATTGACATACATTGATTGCATAAGTATTCAGACCCTTTAATAGTGAAAATATACAGTAAATAAGTTCAAGTGCAAACTTCCAACAAAATTCATAATTGAAAGATAGATAGATAATACTTTATTAATCCCGTAGGGAAATTGATGTAAAGGGATGTAAAGGGAGTCTTCCACAGAAATGAAGGAATAAGTATCTTATTATAGATTACCTTTAATGCTTTTAAAGGTAAATGTTACTGTTGATTATACCTTCCTGAAACTGTTTTCTTTGTTTGTGACAGAGGTGGGATCAAAGACGGCGACATCATTGTTAAACTGAATGGACGCCCATTGTTGTCAACTGGTGATTTGCAAGAAGCCCTAATGAACGAATCACCACTGCTTCTCGAAGTACGCAGAGGAAATGATGACCTGCTTTTCAACATTGAGCCTGATATCATAATGCAATGAAAGTGGACCACAGCCATATGGAACTGGGTAGACCATTTGTTGGGCCTTCTACAGTGAGCTGTAGAGACTAAGCTGGATGTGTCCATCTAGCAGTTTCATAGACTTAGGGACAGTATATCTGGACATCAATGATTACATGTTTTACAATTAATCCAGTTTTACATTCTAACCCCTGTTTCTTCAATGTCACCAATTAATTCAAAAGACTTTACACACGATGCGATAAAAAATACCACACTATTAGCAATAACATGACAGAAGTAGCATGTTGATGTAGTTAAAAAATGTACTATAGTAGGTTGATATCCCTTTATTAGGATAATACAGTACATTGTGTATCAATGAAACCTCATTCATACCTTTTGAATATATACAAAACAAAAATGACGCTGGTTCTGGAAACCTAAAATGTTTAGAAATATTTAATGGTCATTATGAACTAAACAAAAGCTGCCGGTCAGATGGACTCTTTTTATCTTTTGTAAAGGCAGTATGTCACTGAATCATTCTTATAGAACTGATGCAGCAGCATACAGTGAGTTCATAAAATATCAGTTGGTGATTTACACCTAGTAATTCATTTTTTCTGTTTTCATTAAGGCAAGCTTGTGCTGAAGACTATAGAGCCATCATACCACCAGTTTGTATGTTTACTGCTTACATCCAGTGTTGAATAAAAGTTAACAATTCCTAAAACTATTGTTATCTGTTGTTTTTTAATCTAAACATTTCAGCTAATAAGTAATTCTCAAGCATACAGTATATAATGGATATATTTATGAAAAAGGAAAAGAAGTAAATGGTGGTTTCTATCCAAAAAATATACCAATTACAAGCCACAATTTTTTTTTAAATCAGAAGAGGCAGTGTTATAAATGTCAGCTGTTGCTTTTTAAGCAAACCTTTTTCTGTAGGTTTTTTAAATTGGATCAAATTTCAGTTATTTACTGTAACTACATTTAAAATTATAAGTGAAATATTCATTTTTTTGAATGTTTAAATGATGGATACTGTATGTAGTATAAAACATGAATTACCATGGCTGGCTTAACATGGGCAGCACTTGGCTTGGTGGTTAGGCCAGCTACTGTACCTACAGCTCTGAACTAAACTACTGTAGGACCCAGAACTGAAGAAAGGGCTTCAGTCCAGCCCGGAGCACCTCCTCTTGTCCATGTTGGTATTCAAGTTGTGGAGCTCTGGTTTCTTTCTGCTTCCCAAAACATGGCGGTTAGGTTAATTGGTGTGCCTGTGTGTGCTCTGCAGTGGACGGACATCTCATCCTGGGTGTGTTCCCATGTTGTCCCTTGTGCCTCTGGAATCAGCTCCATTTTGCTGCAACACTAACCAGTGTTGGCTTTCTGATAATGGGTGGTTTTTATTTGGGAAACTTTACAAAATATCATTGTATTTTTAAAAATATGCCCTCTTGAGAATAATATGTTGCACTTGTCCTCTTGTACCATCTACCTGAGCATGGCACACTGGGGAAATAAAGTTTACTGACCCTTTGGATTGGCTTTGCAAATATAGATTATAGAGACATATTTGATGCAAATCTACAGCAGGTGTAGCCTTTCAAAGGTAATTTAAACAAATGTATAAAGATTAATAATTAATGCACTTAACATGTAACATATTGCAGGACACCCCAAATCCTGCAAAGTAATTTTTACAATAAACTTTTAAATATTGTATATCTAAACTTTGTATACTTTTCAAATACAGATTTTCAGTGGACTACAAATCTCTCATGCTGCTTCATAAGAACAGTTGCCAAAGTTTCTGACTATGTTATGTTATTATGCTCCCAAATATTCTCCAGGCTCTTAAGCCCAATCATTCTGTAGTAAAGGAACCACACAACACAGATAAAATCTTTTTCTCAACTCTCAGGAGGGGCTGGGGAAGTCTGCATTACAACAACAGCGCCATGTGTTTTCAGTCTGTTGCCACAGGCAAGACAGTCTGTGCTGGGGAACTGAACCCCATTCATTGTTTTCAAAGGCAAATGCATTTGCTCACTGCCAAAAAGCTTGGGCTGTCTGGTAATAGGGAAACACTTTTTCCTATCAGCACTTCCTATCAGTGCCCACAGACTTTAAGCAGGCGGTGATCGCACAGCAATACTCAGCTTCCCAGTCACCCGCCATCACAGTCACATAAAACATCTTGCACCTATGCAGGTCAGGTGTATATGTTACAATTACAATTAAACAAGTAAAGGTTTTTTCCATGCTGAAAAGAGAAGAGAAGAAAGGAAACACAAAATTTCGGCTGTGGAGCCTTTCTTTGGGTGTGAGACAGACAGGGGAGTTACCAGAGATTATTGTATACAGTATACAGTAGCATAGGATAACAAAAGCCAGGAGTGTAGACGAGGCAAGAGAAAAGTATTTTTTGAATGCCCCATCATCTCATATCTCCGACCACCTAATCTGCGTAACCTTCTTGTTCACAGCTCCCTTGACCGCCCTCAGCAATCATCCACACCAGGCTCTCTCCCTTGCAACAGAGCTCGCTACATCACCTACAAGTACATACAGTATTTAACACCACACTCATTCAAGGCCCCTTAGGACAATTCTGGATCACTCAGATGACATCACCTCCAGCAACCTTATTTACTGTATCTCTTGCAGTAAATGCCCAGATATCTACATTGGGGAAACAGGAAGGAGACTCGGAGACCGCTTCAGAGAACATGTTTGGGCTGTGAGGATAAAAGATTTTTCCAAGCCCATAGTTTCTCATTTCACCTCTTAACAGCCATGATCACACTGATCTCCCTGTCTGTGGTCTCAAAGAAGGGTGTCTTAACTCCTATTGCAGAAAGACATCCGAAACCAAAATTATCCTGAAACTAGGTTCACACCTTCCCCCTTCTCTCAACGACAGACTCATTTCCTTCTAATCCTCTTTATTCATTTGCAGGTTTTGACTTCACACTTTGAAACACTGCAATTTATACCAGTGATCTTGATTCTCGTATATTTAGTAAACTAGTTTGAATGATTTTAAAGATGATAACAAAATAGGGAGATTAGCAAACACCAAGGAAGAAGCAATAAAGGAAATTAAAAATAGATGTAACTGAAGACTGGGAACACACCTGGCAAATAACTTTTAAAGTAAACAAGTGCAGAGTAGTAGAACTTAATCTATAACTATAAAATGGGAACTAAGGTTGAACAGTCTATGTATAAAAAAATACTTTTCTGTCTTTAACATCTTTACAAAAGTTCCAGACGACTGGGTCTGTTAGGGGCTTCACTGTGGTTACAACAACCTAAAGTTAAACTTGCATTGTGATAACGAACATAGTTTTTAATCACTTCACAAAGTACTGTATTTCACATTGCAAGTGATCTCCTTAAGTCTAAGTCCTCTATTAAATTTGTTTTCACAGCAGTGAAACTTTTAAAAACACATATTATGTTGACTATGCTTACCTTTGTAGTCATAAGCCTTATTATTTCACTTAAGAATTAAACGTTGTTAAAGATTTCTACTAATCTTTGTGTTGTCTTGACTAAACAGCTTGGTGTCTCTCTTTAAGTGGTAAGATGCCCCACTGATAAGAGACATCAGCTGTATCCAGTGTTGAACCACTTAATTATATACAGTATAGTGCAGATGGACTCCAGCAAGTCTGTAGGCTTTTTCTTCACAACCCATGCCCATCACCCATTAATAGAAGATCTGCAGGGTGGGTACCAGAACCAAACCTAATAGCATCTTCTGATTTTGGACCTTAAAAGCGAGATCCAAACTCATTTTCAGTGGTTTACTCACTGGCTCCTCACCTCTCTTCAACTGAACAGGCAATCAGACTTTTCCAAACATGTGACTGCAAGCAGTCTGAGTCAAGACTTAAACTTCTCCAAGATGCCAGGCTGAGTCAGTCAGTAGTCAGTAAAGTACAGAATTCTGTCCATGATATTCTTTTGTGAACCCACTGTTATTTTCTCCTGATCAACATAATAAGGCAGTTGGATGTTTTTGTTGATATATTCAACTAAGTTCTCCCACCTGTCATTCTTGTGGCCAGACCCAATAGAGCTGCCTGAGGGTCAACACTAGCTACTGAGTCACAGTACAAGGCAAAGCTCTCTCTCTCTTCTCTCTGCACCAGGACACTCCCAAGAAAGAGCAGACAGCTGCTAAATTAGACCATTGACTGATCCAGCCCAGCTCCATCTTCTTATTGAAACATTAAATTCATCAAGGGGGTTTGTCCACTTATCTTTGAGTATAAAACTATTTATTCACATTTTAATTCTTGAGAGTTGAGCTATTATTTCAAACACGTCTAACATTTACTTCACAATAGTAAATACATATTTATTGTATCTTAAAATATGAATAAGGTAATTATATGAGACTGATAAAAAAGAGCTACTGTATGTATTTAACTTCAAAGTTATTAACTCTTCTCCTTGTAATCCCTGAGTGAAGAATCATCCATTTGTATAACAGCAGATGGTTTCATAGATATATTCTGTTACATTTGTTATGCTGTTTTCAGTCTAATATCAATAAATCGTAATATTGTAAATTTAAAATCCATGTGTGAGAATGTAAATTATTGTTTGATAGATTCCTTAAAATTATTTTGTAATTTACCATTTCAGTTTCTGGTTGTTACAGTAATTTAAAAACCCTATTTCATTTTGTCAAACATGATTGTGACAGCAATATTTTGCTATCCTGCTCCTTGTCAGCAGGGAAGCTTGTCAAGACTGACTGAAATATAAATGGAGCAAAGAACTGCCAAATCACAGAGGAAAACCCATTTCATACTTAAAAAGTAGCCAAAACTTCACCCTTCAGCAGAACAATGATCAAAAGCTAAAGGCCAAAGCAACACGGGATTGGCCCAGTTTTGATTTTGAATCCTACTGTTAATCTGTGGAAAGACTGTGGAAAAAATGCTGCCCATAAATTATCCATAAGCAACCAAAAATTGTAAAATTGATAGAGATTTATCCAAAAATACTTTTTGTTGTATTGTTTCACATTTACATCATTGAAGAATTAAGGAACTCAACATAAAAATCCCCCCACTTGTGTTTTCCAAGGCACAAAAATCCAGCAAAGTTAGTTGTTCAGAAATGAAAAAAAAAAAACACAGTAAAAACCAAAATTGACCATGTTCTTGTAGACAATTCTGTTGTCATGTTGTAATGACTAAGATTAGGAATCAGTGTACCCCAACAAGTTGAGTTCTTACCACCATACACTATGTTGCTGATAAAACTGTGATCTCTACCTATAAAATGCATAAACAGTAAATGCAGAAAACATCTACCCTGAAGTGTTGAATTACTTTTTTGGTTAGGTTTTAGGTACAATAAATGCATACTGTATATACTGTAAATGCCTAAACAGTGCATTAGACATTTATTTCAAGCTATTTTCATTATTCCTTATATATATATTAATTTCCCTTTATTTCCCTTAAGTCATTTTACTATTTAGGAACATTACCTGGATTTATAACAGGACCCCCTGTACTGTACTTGGTTAGCTACAAGCAAAACACACACTAATGTATGGTCCCCAACCCTACTGTTAATGGCAACTATATTTTGTAAAATTTATAAAAGGTTTCAAATTTTATATTTGAGTAGTTGAACAACGATATATCTCCCATACTGGGGAATTGATGTTCCCGAAAAAGCTTTTCA